CGAGATTGGCTCTCTCGCCTCCAAGGAACGGAAAGCGAATTGAGACAAATGGTAAGGGATCATGGCTGCGACGCCGACAAAGATACCCGGCGGACAACCGCGACACACCGCGACGAATCGCGGTACTATTTTTTGATTTTTTTAACCCTCCGCGACTCGACTCGCATTTGCCTTCCGAGCAAAATCGTCGAACATTCTATGCTTTATTACCGGGGATACTAATCGTATACATACTTTTGTAAAAATAGAAAAGAGGAATAGTACCGATACGAGAACTTTCAACGTGGAAAATGTGGGGCTGTTTGGTTCGTGGGTGGATAAGAGGCGGAGGCGTCGACGATGAAAACCGAGTGGACGAATAAAGGGAAGAGGGAGAAAGATAGAATGAGCGAGTGGGGAAGGACCAGGGAAGGGTTAGGCAGGGTAAAGAGAGAATAGACGCAGCAAGGATATCGATTATTTGCGGTTGCAGCAACTGCAAGGCTCTCCCTTCGTCGACGAGGACGAACACCCGGAAATCTCGATGATACACCGAACCGAGATTAATCTCATTTTTACCTTCCGGTTTTGAAATACTTCTCAATCGAGTTACGCGAACGAGGGGCTCGATGGATGGAGGAGGGGAAAGAAGGCAGAAACGTGGCTGCTCTAACGCGTTCGAAGATACCTTTTTTTCATTCTACCAACTCCTTAATCGTCGAAACGTTCATCTTTGTTTATTTACATGGTATAACTATTATTGTTATTAAATTATATTCGCGACTAACGATGACGACGAGCGTTGCAAAAAAAATCTATCCTCGCGAGCGTGTTGCAGCCGGTTGCAGTCGCAAGGAGATCGGCTCCGTGTATGTAATCACGATTGAAACAAATCGGTCCAATTATTGTTGTGAATTCGCAACGTCAATCGGCCTAACGCGCGCCGCTATACGCGAGGGAACCCGGGACGCATGAAGCTGTTCTGTTCCGAGGAACAACGAGGCGAACGATATTACGAAAGACGATAAGAAAAATCGCGTAGCACGAAGGAATGCGATCGCCGCCCGTGGAAGATAATATATTTTCGATTCGGTATTTAATTACAGTTAGAAGCAACCCGACAATCGCGATACGACGCGGCCGCCGATTTCGCCGCGTTCAACGCTCGCCGGGGATTGCACGATCGCGCACGTATTATTAGTATTTTACGATCGGCGAGTATCTCTGACGCGATGCTAGAGCACAAAGGACCTCGTAAAACTTGCACAGTCACGTGCACCGCGTGTTTCTCTGACCGACGAGGGCAATGTGTGTATTATGCATACTCGGGCCTCGAGGAACTTACAATGTCGGTTCGGGTTCTCGAAACGGCTACGAAGAACCTAAGTTTCGGACTATATCGGTTCAAGTTTAAAGTTCTTTGCGTCATGTATGCAGATACTGTAGGTCCGTTACCTTTTACGTTATAAAGTTACGGTGGGTTCGACGAAACGAGGTCGTGGGTTCAAACGTCCATTTGCCGGATTTAATATTATTTTCTTTTATTCGAACGGGTCCGCGGGACGATAAAGTTTAAGAAAATAAATTTGAGATGTTACGTCGGTGCATTTGGGAACGAAAATACGTAAATCCTGATACACGTACAACTATGCGCACGAAATGTTTGCGCACCTGACTGAAATACGTTGCGCGCACGCGACATCCAATCGGGTTGTAGCCGGAGTGTGAGATACGCGCGGACAACTTTTACGCCCGCTGAAACCGGCAGTTTTAAAGGCACGCGAACGTATTCTATAAATTGCGGACAGCAGCTTTGCGCCGGACATCGATAACTTCGCGAATAATAACGCGGCAAGTTCCGTAAGCTCGAAACTTTTGTCGGCGTTTCCTAACCCCCCTTTGAGATCCGAAACATTTTTGATGTTTCGTTCCAGCGAACGGTAACGATTAACCGTGATGCTTTGTCATGCAACCTCTTCGACACGCGATGGCGTCGAGTTACCGTTGAGCAACCGAATCAGAAAAGTAAAAGTTTTCTACCGCTCTGTCTCTCGCAGTTTTCTGCTCGGTGTGATAGTTTCCTCGTTATTCTCATTGTTTCGCATTCCCTTCTGTACTGTAAACACAGCTCGACGCGAGTCTTCCTCCGAGAAGAGATAAGAGCGATCGAATTTCAATTCCTTTCGTCTATAAGTGTCTCGCAGTCCGTACGGGGTCATGACACTTATAGACAATTCACTGTACTGGGCTCGATTCGATAGAATAAGTTTCATTGGAATTAAGCCCTGACTATAATCGAATCCTTCGAGTATCAGTTCTTGGAAATGTCGATACCGAGAAACAACCATCAAGTCTTATTCCATCGATTATATAGTTGAATGAATTAATAATAACAATACTTTATTTACAGGTGTAAACCGTAGTATTTTACTTGTTATGTAATAAAAGTCTCTTGTATTTAGAAATTAAACAATGATGCTACCTGTAAGGCTTAAGGCACTTATTTTCTTAATAAGGAGATTATAATTTATCATATCAAAAGCCTTATGGAATTCAGTGTATATTGTATCTACTGGATGGCCATTATCTATTTCAATAGTACTTACGTCAATGGTACTGGTATAATAATAGATTTATGATAATTGTTGATCAATGATAAAATTTCTCATTAATACTGCTTTCACTTGCTACAAAAAACAATCAGACGCCATACTTTCATCAACCATGTTACATTTTTAATCTATACTATCGCCATCTTTTTCAGTTTATTAATTTCTAACCTAAAAAATATTAATTCCAATGTATGCTTTATACGGTACGAAAATTTGGACAGAATCAATTAAATCGATACGTTACATAAAATTTAAGAAATGAAACGTATCATTGTACCGAACTTTCAGTTGGCAACACTGAACAAAACAGCTGTTTGCACATCAATCGGTTTGAACATATTTACCGTGCGATAACCTTTCTAATGACTACATTACTAACAACCAGACATCAAAATAGTAGAAACAACTAATATCGTCGATAACAAAACAGTAATTTCTGACTATACACGATATCTTGATCGTTACGAATTTTAATACGTAAAAAATGTAATTATAATATTCAGTATGCTCATCCTCTTTCACGTTTCTTGTAAACGTTTTACTTCATTTTACGTCACAAACCAAAAACGAGTTCATGTACAATAACATTAAAAAAAAAAACTGTACAAAAATGTCATTGCACGTTACTAAAAGCACACGATGAAGTTGGCTACACTGACGAGCGTTAGGTCGAATTTCAATGTGCAGATTAAGAATGCTTCCGGATAGTGGCTCCACGTCGCTTTCACAAGCAACTAAATATCCGAATGAGCGGCGAGACTCTGACAAATATTGACGAAAATATTTCGGCAATGACGCGCTAAACAAACGTCTAACATTTTATTGTACGTATACACATGCAAAATATAAAAACTATTCGCAAATCAGAGACACGATGAGAACTTTTTTTTATTGAAACACAGTCTCGTTATAGAAAATTATTTTAAGCCGTTATCAGTTTATCAAACTTTTCTCGATCGTGTAATCGATCGAGAAAAGTAACTAAAGTTCTCTCTCTCTAAATAGGGCCGGGGATACGAGACTGTAGGGGAATATTTTTTCTGAGAAATGCAGCACTCCCACCCGTAGTACTTGTTATCCCAGAGCAGCACACATTTTTCTTAAAACAAATGAAAATCGACGCAAGCTTCAGCGTTATCTGCCCTAAAGTGGGGATAACGTTCGCGCGTAAATCAGGGTAAGCGACTCTATTCAGAACGACTCTATTGTGAGAGAGAACTGTAATACCCCTTGTACGGAATTTTTAACACTTTACTGCACTCAAATGATGTTTATTAAATTCCATTTATTTCGCATAGAGAGAAAGGTACAAAGCAAATATGAATATGAATTATTCTGCGAAAAGCGTAGCGATTGAAAGTAGGCAGAGAACAGGAAGAGACGGCAAGAGTCTGCGCAGAATGCCAGGACCGTATGTACAAGTACAAGAGCCTGTTTTCATGAACATTCTTTCGAAAAATCGGAATTTTTTCGCAAAAGTTTTGAAAAATATGTTTCTCTCGTCATCTTAAAATAGGAAACACGCTCGAGTACTTCACTTTTCCATTGTGGAACACAACTAAAATTATTAAGAATTTCTGTGTAAATCACACGAGAGAAGATTTAATATCATGTCACTGTCGATAGATTGACTACACTGTATTTTTATATAATTAAGCACCAGGACGATACACGAAATTTGATCATAAGTAATATCCATGATTACGTTTGACCATGTGGTCTTTTACCTTCGATCTAGGGTATCAATTAAGTTAAAACCTTCGTGGCACACCTTTCTAGCGAAACGGTAGAACAGGCAATTCGATTTTAATTGTTTATTGCATCTGAATACATGTGTTCCGATAAATGGCATTAACAAACCGCTAATGACTGGTACGTAATGTGTTTCGATCAATCAAGCTCACCATCCGTTATTCGTGTGAACATGCAAAGCGTACGCTATGCTCCCCGACTTTTCTTAACATTTAGAAACCGTGAATTTCGAATTCAAACGGGCCGTGGATGAAATAGAAGAAGAATCGAAGAGAATCAAAGCGACATGTGTCTCGAATGACTTAAACCGAATCCACGAATACAATGCAATAGTTGCACGAAAGAAGGAAGAAAGAAAGAAATAAGGAATACGCGAAGACGAACGAGAGAGGGTAAGGGTGGGGGAGAGGAAGAGGAGACTGGGTGGGGCAGCAGACGCCCCGCGGCAAACTGTCAAACTACGCCGGTTCCGCAAGGTTCGTGGCCATCGGCCGCCCCCATGGTAACGCTACGTTTTCCAAGAACGTGTATACAGAAGTAACTATGCACGCACGCTCTGAGCAGCGTGAGGATTGGAACGCGCTATGTGACCAGGACGATTGACCGTATTCAAAATAAGAAACAAATGACAAGAGAACATTGCATACTCGTACTCACCATCATTTTATAGTTGAGCTTCCTCGGCGCGGCTACGTTTTCCATTCTCACGGACATATTAGCGGTGTTATCGCTCGTGGCGCCAAACGAAACGATACCGTGCCGTCGGTCCTATTACTACGGTAAAGTGTCTCTCTCTCTTGAATCTCTAATCGTACTTATACGTCGTTGGTGGCTTTTGGTCTGGCGTTGCCAAGAGAGCAGCGTCAGCCGTGTTTTTCGTATCTCCCGACACTGGTTAGATGCAGAACCCACACAGCACGGTCACGAACGAATTTGCACTCCGATCGGCCGATAAACCGGGGTGGAGCGGAGGCAGAAAAAGAGCGAGGAATAAAGAGAGAGAGAGGACGAATAGGTGTGGGTGAGACGCTTCGTAAAACGAGGGGGGAAGGGGGAGGGGAGGGAGGTTATCGGGAGGGGGTAGAGCTAGGACGAAGTACGGTACGTATGGTTACGAACGCAAAGGGACACGATAGCCGGTCGGTATGGTTTTAACACCGACGAAATCCGATGCAACAAGCGCGACGATAAATCACTTTGCACCGTACGAAAGAAAGAGAAGAAGACGGCAGAACGATCCGCAAAGAGACGAGGGGTCGAGACGGGAGGAAGAGTAGAGGAAAGAGGGACGTGATGTGTGCGGCTTTCTGTTGCAGTGATCGAATGTACACGCGTGTACTACGTAAATGTACCAAAGAAAAGAGCGAGAAGGATGAGAAAAGAAGGGGGTAGAGAGCTGAACCGATGGCGATATGAGACGGATGTCGAGTGTCAAGAGGGTGTGTCGGCTATACACTTCACTACTATCAGTCGTACACTTTTCTCCACGTCGTAACTCGTTACTAAAACACGCACCACACCGAGAGAATCAGCTAGCTACACCGAGCTGAGTCAACGAGCGGAGAGACTACGCGAGAATTATCACCTACTTCGCTGTCGTTTTCAGCCTCAGTGGCGGCCACTGTTGCGGTACGATCGTCCTTATCCACCTCGTTGCCGTCTTCGTCGGGATTGTCCCCTTTGTCGTTGTCCTCGTCGTTTCAGTTCCTGTCTTCTGAGTCCTTAATCTTCACCCTCCTCGTCCTTCCGATCACCGTTTTCCTCTTACTTATTTCTCTTCTTTCACACTTGGTCTTCCAGCTATCGCGAAACCTTCCTATCTTTACGTGCTTTCCGTTGTCGTCTTCTTCCGTTGTATCTCACGCGGCTCGCACCTTTTACTATCGTACAAATTCCACGGAGCACTACTAATACAGCATGTTACAAAAATAGAGTTTGTGTTCCCTTAAATAAAATAAATGTACAATTAATTGTTACTTGTGGTTAGGAAACATTTAGTGTATGTGTTGTCTTGTAGGTAGAGTCTAAGCTACTGCCCGGCGAGGTTCGCCCATCTTGCCCGAAACTAAGGAGAGTCGCCGCTTGGAGGCGCTGTACGCGCCACCACCAACGGTGGGGCTCCGGCGGCCGCACCTGTCTGCACGACCGCCACTCAACACACGCTCACGGTATCACGGTACGTGAACGATATCTTACGAACTCGCCGTGAGCGACAAAGAGATAACTAACGTCCGTACGGACTGTATGACAAAGATGGAAGCTACTGCCTAACGAATGACGCAGAGGAGAGAGGGCCGTGATCACCGCGGTTTTCTCGACGAGTTTCGGCGTGGCGCAGTTGGCAGACATGCGAATGAACGAGCGGCGAGCGCGACGGAGACCGCGATCAAGAGCGCCACGCGATAAACGAAGACCGAAAATGAAGGACGATACGAGGGAAGAGAATGAAAAAAGAAGAGAGAGAAAACGGACGACAGACAGTGGCGGGTGGTACACTCACCCCCGTATATACGACCCTTTGCGATGCGGCAATAAACGTGTGTTCCGTATGCCCTCTTATGTAGAAATCTACCTGAGATAGTACCAAGTCTCTCTTCTCGTTCGTCGAGCGTTTGTTAAAGAAGAAAAACCGGTAGGTATTAAGGTCTCTCACTCTCTCTCTTTCTTTTCATAGGACGAGATCGATTCTTTCGGCCCTTTCGTTGGTGCTCGACGAGGTTCTTTCGCACCTTCTCGCGAGAGACTCGCGTTATCGATCGTGAAACGACCTCACTCACTTCTCCTACTCCCTCGAGGTCAGGAGACGAGATTTTCCTGTCGCTTTTTTCCCCTTTTCAACGGCAAATCTCGGTAATTTTCTTCGCGGTCATCGACATTTCTCATTCACAGGATGCTGTTAGACAACGGCGTAATCTTCGATCTAAATCGATCGAGTCCGCGCAGGAACATATTCCTTCAAATTGATCTTCCGCTCGCAGTCTTCGCGATCGTCTCTATCATATTGTTACGGAACAATTTTCTTCTTTTTACCGCGTATTGGGCGTAGCTATGCGCTGACTACGAAAGATGCCCTCTACATTTGCAATCGTACGATGATTCTCGTCTAGCGGCGTAACGATTGGAAAATCTGATTCGCTGCTCTTCAGTCGCGCCAGTCGTGCATTCCAGTTATGTTGTAACCAAGCTTATCACGCGCGTGTACAGACGCAAGGTGGCAAGTATTACGAATACGCTACTTTTTGGTAACGATACTATTGACTTTACAGGTTTCCGGGCAAGAAATCCTTGGAGGGAACTGCAAAAATACATATAAATTGCTATCTCTTCGGGTCATGTCTGTACGATTTTCACGAGCAATAAATCATTTCGCGTAACACCATTAATCTCAATTATTTTTGCCAGCGATTTCCCAGTTAAATTTACATTGCAACATTTTTATGAAGTTACAAATGATGTCAAACGAACGGTCGCTGATATTTAATTATCGGAATAAAGATATGGCATTACAAATAATTTCAAGACATAAACGTATTAACTTTTAAAACACGTCGTGCAGTTATGAAGGTGGCAAAGTTTATAAACAAAAATAATACAGTTTATGCTGAACGGTTTATCGAAGTTGTGACTAATCAGGTTTAAATACACGGAACTACGAAAATACATTTTCCCTAATCCCAAGATAACGATAACTGCATTCACGACTATTGCTTTCACCGAAATGCCCAAAATGACGTTCTACTTCACGTCACAATAACGTGGATCCCGTCTAATACGTTCTGTCATTACCCAAACAACCCAAGTCTGAGTCAGTGAGCAACCTTTATCTACCATAGACAGGCAATCTCTGCTCGAATCACCGTCCCTCTGTGCTCCCATAAACCGTTTCGAGGGAACCATGGGTACCTGGCGACATAGTCATTAGCATCGACTGGCCGTTTACCTGGATTTGCCTGCTGCGACCACGCAGAGACGCAGACGAAGAAGAAAGCAGGCCACTTTGTTTTGACCGATGTATTTTCTTGTATCTCTCTCTCTCTCTCTCTCTCTCTCTCTTTCCCTCTCATTCACTATGAAGTCACGGACAAGGTCAAGGCCGTTGGCCTTCATTTCTCGACATCCTCCACAACCTCCTACGAGTTGTCTGTCTTCCTCTGCCTCGTTTTCTTTCTAATCTTATTCGTTCACCTCGACGTTCAATTAATATTCGTTACCCGATCGGTTGCAACGCGAACAGTAACGCGATCCACGGTAGTTAACAACAATTCGCATTTAAAGCACCGTTTTAATGACGGACATTTTTATTTTCGCGTCCCCTTATTCTCTTCAGCCCTCCCCTCCCCGCGCCCCTTTCCCGTTTCACCGCGTTGTTTTCCAACTTCGATTTCGCCACGTCCACTCGTGAGCTCCTCCTATTCGCAGGCTGAAACAAAAATTGTCCCTTGCAGAATGAACGATCTCACCTGGTCGACTCGTTCTACTACGCGTGGAATTGCACGGAGATGAGAGGACGGCAGGCCACTCAGACATTCCGTTGCTCGTACGAACAGGTTTCCTACCGATTGCAGAAAAAAACCACGCGGACCCGAGTAAGCTAAACAAAGTTATTCGCGGGGAATCGATACGACCCGATTTTTGTTAACGGACCGAACCGAATCCACCGCCAGATCGCCGCGGCTTCCCCGTCGCCTGGCAATTTTCCCCGATCGTTTATCGATCGAAATTTCCACCGCACCGCCCACGATCGCGAAGATACTCGAAGTTCTCCACCTTCGAGCCGCGATATCAAATTTTTGGCACCGTTATAAATGGCCGCTATAAACATGCCACACCACCCGCGGCCGCGTCAATCGTTACGATAGGAAGGCCAAAAGTGATATTTATCAAAGAACCGCGGTATCGACGATGATTAAAAATCTACGCTGTCGAACGTGTCGCGGACAGTTATTTATCGCCTCGACGATTGAAAAACTACGCTCGCGTTATAATTCTCTATCGGTTTCTGAGTTATCCGCTATACTGCAAATACACGTGTTTATTCTTCTCGAAAAAAAAGAAAAATTAATTTACTTAATTTTACAGATTTTGTGGACGATCTAATTATTTACAATGTACGTGTGTTACGTGTATGATTGTATTCCCTCTGTCCCTGTCGCCTCGCCCCTCACCCCCCCCTCCTCCACGGATAGTATTTTCTTAGGAACTAGGTACGGTAACCCCCGGCTGTCCACACGCAATATCGTCGCGTATATTTTTCGCTGGTCGCGTGGAGCGTTATCAAAAAATTTAGTAGACACGTTTCTCCGGATATCGCGGCAAGAAATTCCACGAGGTACGCCAAAATTCCCTAGGGGCACTCGGGTCAACAGGAAGTCAAGGCCACGCGGTCAATTGCCCCGCGATCCGTCGCCGTTATAAATAGATACGAGCGGCCGGTATCTACGCATCTATTTGCACGCATGCTGTAAAATCCGAAACGGAGTTATTCCGACCGAGGTATACGATTCTGATTTTCCGTGCGTTTTCCGTGCCGCAACGAGATCCCTCCATCGACCAATGAGACGCGTGACGAACGCATCGATCGTTAAATCCCTTAATGCTTTGGCTATCGATATACCCCAGCGTAGGTGGGGAAATTTTAATTAGTAAGTAGTCGTCTATGATTATAAACGAATTATAGATGCTACAGGAATGATTAATAACGGAATAAAAGGGAAACGACCAATTATTTCGTGGCTATTTATAGATCCATAACTTAATACCGAAACTAAGCGATAATCTTGCGAAACTTATCGAATCTGTCGTGGAACAGTAAAGTGTAAACCCAGGAAACGTTACGGGATTTTTCTGGGGTTCCCAATGGGGGTATCATTATGCAGTAGAGGATCAATACGTACAGTAAAGCAGTGGGTATGCTGTTTCGAGCAATCGCCGGCGTCATAATTAGAGCAAACGTCAGGAATGAAAGGAATGCTATGAATTTGACGTAGTAATAGTTTCGGTGGAATGCCTAATTTGCACTGTATATCGGGGCTGTGAAAATATCGAGTACGAAGCTGTTAGAACGATTCCCTAATTATTTCGACTGGTTTTTAATAGGCTCAGAAAATACAAGGCGAAACACGAAGTCTAAGCTCTCCTAGGTTCGATGTTCTCGAACTAATCCGTAGTTAATGTTTACGCGTGTCGGTTTAATGCCCTTTCAATTTTCACCCTTGCAACGTCCACCCCAGATATGTGTGTTGCGAGAAACCTGCAGTGCAATTTGCCCAGACGATTTACAAACAGATGTCTGGGATTTCGAAATCCTTTGCAAAAGTTACGTAACGCGTTGCAGAAAATCTTAAGAGCGTTACTCGTAAGATCTCTTGCGCTGAAAAATCCAACTAACAAAGAAGGGCAATTATTTGCCCAAACAAACCGGATCTTTGCCTTAATGGTAACACGATGCTACGAGAAAATATCAGATTTGTTACAATGGGGATTGTGCAGAAGGAAACAGTTCCTATCGAACAAGAAGAGTACTTATTGATCCGGTTGGTTGTGGATGTACCGAGTATGGCTTATAAATGCCAGTTCGCGAAAACTATAACCGATGCCAATTTACTCCCTTTGACGTAGAATTATTATGCAAAGCCAAGTATCATCGGAGCACTTGGACGAAACGATCTTACAGGGTACGATTATTTTATATTCTGAGAAACGATAGATGACAAGGCTCCTGGAGTAAATTGATAAGGAAAACCGATTATTCTATGCGATTGGAGCCTTCGTATGCAAAACGCGATCCCGTAGAATAAAATATCTCGGAATTACTTTAAACGTTCACAGACACTTTTGTCAGCGATCCTCATTTTGACGTTCGTTTATCCAACGTTCCTTTCCCGTACAACGACACGGTGGAAATACTTTTCGGTGGCGTCACGGTTTCAATGCGACTCGTTAAAAGGTACAGTTCCGCGGACAAATTCAGGGGGAATAACCCTGTACCACCCTATACCGGCGGAATATATAATCTCGGGGTCATTGCCCGAACGATCTTTGGGGGTTCCACCATGCCCGGAACGAGGGTGAGGTGCCTCGGAATACTGGGCTGATATCGACCACTTTCCCCAAAAGCTGAAACGCGAAGACAGAATTAAACATCTCCCTCTGTTTCGTTCGTAAATACCTAAAATGCTAACCTACATGAGAGAGAACCAGGAGGAAAAAAATTAATCGTCGCAAATAGAAATATCGACTCGCGAGACGGTTTCCCTTGCGTCGAATACAAAAATTACCTCGACCGGAATAGCAAGACGTTTTACATCAACGAACACACCCGGTGGACCAAACGACAGTACACAATCATTATTTACGTTCCTTATCGATTGAATAGAAATTGCTGATACGGGTCAGAAACGACCCGAGTACAGTAGTTTGGCGAAACGCAACAAGAACGCGGGATATCGTTTCGTCCAGGAGCGTAGGTATCTGACGTCGCGATCCATTAATAACAATTCGATCTTGTTTCCGCTAATTTATCGCTGGCGATTGCGTACGTTTCGCGCGATAAGCCGGGTACGTCATTCGCGACCTCGTCGAAGGAAAGTCTTCTTCGAGCAGGTCTCTGCCCACGAATCCTACGATCGCAAGATTAATCGATGCAGGTCCATCGATCGGAGGAGGGGGAGGTACTGTCTGCAGCAACGCGACGCCGAGTGAACGTGGTATAAGGACAAGGTTCGATCCTTTTCGGACGCTACGAAACGTCCGAAGGAGGAGGAGGAGTACCTCGAGGAGTGTCTTCTGGGTAGGAGGGAGAGTAGGATAAGGGTTGTTCGACGGGTGGCCATGCCTTTTGGGGCAGTGGCCCTTGCTGCGATGCCTCCGAGGGTGAGAAGGGGCAGACGAGGACCTACGCGTTATTGAGCGGGCATTTCCCACAAAGCGCAGACGAGGGCAACCACCCCGTAGTGCTGCGGCGCGCAGAGTTCTCTACTCTCCTTCCTCTCCCTCTCTCACCCTCTCCCCGTCATTCTACCTTTTCCTCCCTTACGGGTCCGATCTCTCTCTATCTCTGCATCTCCCTGCCCCTCCTCCCTCCCTCTCTCTCTCCTTTATCTTTTTCTGTCGCCTTCTTTTTCCCCCGTTTCCCTCTTCCTCCCAGCCTCCTCTTGTCCTTTCAGCATCCCTTTCCTCGCGCACGCACATACATAAATATATATACGTGCACGCGTATATATTTCTCACTCTTGTTCCATCAAACGGCGAGGACCTCCCCCCCTCCTCCGTCCTCCGTCCTCGGTTTTCCTGCGAAATTTCGCAACGACGATGGACGCTTTTTGAGTTTAGCGAGCGCGCGTCAAAACTCGGGAACGCGACGTTCAACCTTCGAGGAAGAGGAAGGAATAAAAAGCACAAGGGAGATGCCGGGACGTCACGGGCCCTCGTGACGGTTTCTCCCTTTTACTTTACGATTCGACGGGCCAGCCTTCGTTCCCTGCCCTGCCCACGTTTTTCCAGCAATTACGCAAGGGAGAGCACCGGACTCGCCAGCCGACTCCTGAAACGTAAACAGTAAATGAGACGGGACGAGACAATGCCGCGGGGCAACGCTCGAAATTGATATCCCCCGACGGTTTATCAAACTTGGAAACAACCATCGCGAAATACGACTGCCGCCCATCTCGCGTCGCGAATAGTTTCATCCGGGTCAACCTGTACCCTCCTTACATCGTTTTGCGTGTCATCCTTATTCCCTTTCAAAATGGTGATTGAAAAATTGAAAAATCCTGCGCAGGGAAATATCTCCGTTTTCGTCGTGAAAATCCCAGGCTTCGCTTTCCCGTTGTCAGTCGCTTTATTTTTTCGCTTACGCGTGCTTTCCTACGCCCATCTTTCTCGCTCGTATGCGCCAAACCCTTCCGTCCATCTGAAAAATTCACAATTCTGTTACGATATTTTACTGTACTTTTGTCCATGCGACATTCTGAATCATTGTTAACAAAAATTTTTAACAAAAAAAAAAATACTCTATCTTTTTATAAATAATTTATATTATTTTAATTATTATACAAAGAATCTTCCATCGACTGTGAAAGGTAATTGTTTTGTAGAATTTTTGCAACATCAATGATCCAACGTACAAACAGATATCTATTATACTTCATACTACATGAATTGATCCAGAATAAAGTGATCAGGAACTTTGGTTGAATTTATATTGCGCACTGTCTTGTAGAAATATTCAATCCTTTCTGTGAGATTTTCCAACATAGCTGAAACGTGTTTCAAGATAAAAAATTAAATGTTATAAAAAGAAATAGTGAGAGAAATTATTTATTGCATCTTTGTCGTGTTTTTCGGAGCCAGTGAAAATTAGCAAGTACTAGCCCCCGTGAAAACATGAGGGAAAGAGAAATGGATGTATCGATCTCACCCCTAGGGACTTAGTGGGATTAGGACATCACGGCAGCCACCCACGACGAGGCATGAAGCGCCATGCAGTAGCGGAAGAAGAAGCATGTAGCCCTTAGCAACGTGTTGCCGTGGAAAATCTCTACTGTTCCGTGGATTTCCAGAAAATTTAAACGAATAAACAAAAACTTGGACCTAAACTAAACTTAGATAGGTCTTTAACGCATACTGTAACAAAGACGAGAATCATAATGATACATACATTTTTTTTTTTTAATTTTTAAACGCTTATAATTGTCTACGAGTCTTTCTCCATTGCGTTAGATTTTATTATCGAAGGAATGAGAGTTAAATGAAATTTTACGTATATTCAAGAGTGATATCGATTTGAGAATAAAGGAGAAAAACACAATCGCACTATTCGTTCGTGCGGTACCAATCATCCAATGACGCAACGTGCCACCCTCTACGTCATACCCATCCTGTTTCCGCATACCACACAACCTCAACTGTTAGGTCCCTATTTGCATAACAATCAACATTCTGCTGTTAATAAAATGTTATTATTATCAAATTAATAAAATAGCAACTGCCCCATATCAGATCTCGTCATATCTCTCGTCCCACCTCGAACTCTCTTGTCGAACAACGGACAAGTGAAGTTGACTGTCCAGTTTTCACGGCGCCTTCGTTGGCGGTGGATATGAATTACCGAGATGCCTCTCTGAGAAAAAAACAAACAGAGAAACGATATTAGAAGAGTTTGTAAACTACCCTTCCTTGCTTACTGTTAGTGTACTTAACAGTTCATGGTCTTCTATTGTTGTTTTCGAAGGTCATCTTTCTGGATTCAGAATTCCACAACCACCTTTCCATATGTGGTTGGCACGGCGCTCTATGATTCGTCCGTCTTGTAATTGAATTTCGTAATGATTGTCGGCTGTACGTTGACATACCTGTCCTGCTTCACGACAGTTCGATCACAGCTGTACGATAACATTATCATAGATGTCCAATCCTTTTTTCCTTGTACCATGATGTTCGTCGAATTTACTTTTCGTTTAGGTGTAATTAGTTAAGGTGATGTTTAACTCGGAAATTTTTGCAACTTCCGAGTTTATCTGTAAATAAAGCAGGAAATTATGTAGACAGATTTTCATGACCATGTTGACTACGATTTTTTTTTGGAAAGTGTTGTTTACTGTTTGATATTTTTTTCTATTTCTTGATCAAGTACCCTTAGGTTACACCGTTTGCTTTCATGTAAAGTCAGTCCTGTCGCTCATAATATATATTTTTATGAAAAAAAATGTATCGTTCTCGCCTCGTTTTGGGAAACATATTTGTACAATTTTAACGCATTGTCTGCGTTGAGTATTTGTACACTCGCATGTGTTTCATCAAAAGCGCGAAATGTAAAGATGGAAGAGGACATATTGGAAGCTAATCAAGATAAATCGAACGAAAAAAGACCTCAGTTTGGCAACAGAATACTATCTAACTATACCAATGTATTTCAACACAATTCGTGGTAGAAATCTTTTCTTATTTAATATTTACCGATATAATTGCTATATTAAGAGGTTATAAAATCTTAACCTATAAACTATAATAATTTCAAGTCGAATTATGATTTAACATTTTTTTTATGACTATTATTTGAAGGGACAATGTTACATGGGACGAAGAACAGCAAAAATTAGCTCAACAAAAAGTAAACCAAAATTCGATAGTGACGTTTCCGGATGAAAAGATCTGGGAGTATGAACATGAAGCTAATAAATATTGGGATAAATTTTATGGAATACACGAGAATAAGTATACCGATATACTATATTAGTAAAGTGTTACACAATTAGTTTTATAGAAAATATCCATCTACAAAGGTTTTGTTTTCAATGTTGCAGATTTTTCAAGGATAGGCACTGGCTATTTACTGAATTTCCAGAGCTAGCCATGACCAATGTAAAACAAAATATTAAACAGCCTCTGAGATCTGTGTCCAAGGACATGGACGGAAATAGCACAGAAACTCATATTAAAATTCTCGATCTACCTAGTTCTAATGGGAGTAAAATTTTGGAGATTGGCTGTGGGGTAGGAAACACAGTGTTTCCGATACTTTTGTACAACACGGATCCAAATTTATTTGTATATTGTTCCGACTTCTCCACGAAAGCAATAGACATACTGATGCAGAATCCTTCGTACGATACATCCAGGTGTAAGGCATTTGTTCTAGATGCGACGCAAGAAGAATGGGAAACACCTTTTGAACCAGAAAGTCTGGACATTGTAGTGCTAATATTTGTTCTTTCGGCTATAAATCCAAACAAGTATACATTTCCTTCGATTGAATGTATGAAATTGTATAGTTGAAACTTGTGAAATTTATGAATCATATTCTATTTACAGAATGAAACATGTTATACAACAGGTGTACAAATATTTAAAACCAGGTGGATTAGTTTTGTTTAGGGATTATGGGAGATACGATTTAGCCCAACTGAGATTCAAACAGGGCAGTTGCCTTGCAGAAAATTTTTATGCCAGAGGGGATGGAACCAGAGTATATTTTTTTACACAAGGTATATTTAATTACCTTTTCATATCTGTATTACCGACTTTGTTGAATCTTAAATGCCATGTATTTATTTGCAGAAGAAGTTAAGACACTATTCGCGAGTTGCTGCTTTGTGGAAGAACAAAATTTAGTAGACAAGAGGCTGCAAGTTAATAGAGGGAAACAGCTTAAAATGTATAGAGTATGGATTCAAGGAAAATATAGAAAATAAATTGAACATGTTATTTACCATAATTATACTGCATTCATCTCTATTACATTCCCCTATACTCGCGTGAACAATTCCGAAATTATAAACAATAACTATTTATACTATCAAACAAATTATGTAGTTTTATTTTTCACTCGTAAACATTTATGAAAAATTGAAATTTCATTGCATTATTGATCCAAAGAAGAAACATTTAACATTGCAATTTTTAACTTCCGTATGTAAAAGTGATACAAGTCATTTAGGTAACATAAAAGTACTCAAGAAGTTATCGCGTTATTTCGAATGATTTATGATCTAGAATAATTTATCGTTTCAAAAATAAAGAGAAGTTCTTATTGGTAACACTGCTATACTGTAGCGTGTAAACATGGCGGTGGCCGTGATCGTTCTTGTTTAAAGCGAAACAAGTAATTTTTATCATTTAACAACAATCTTTTAACTGCAAGCCAATAAAAGACAGAACAACATGGGAAATGCTGACACAAAGTTAAACTTTCGGAAAGCGGTCGTTCAACTGACATCGAAAACACAAGTAAAAATTATTGTTTATTATCACGTTCAGCAACATATGATTCGGTTGACGTTTGACGTTTGTATGCATCGAAATATATACAAATTTGTATTATCACCAAAATAACTTTCTGATTCGGATTAAATCGTTTTTTTTTTTTAATTTCATTTAGTTGTATGCATTACGCGATTTGACAAATACATTTCGATAATTTAGGTTAACCTTTATACTGCTGAATTAATCAGTGGTAGGAGAAACCTCGATGCTAAATTAATTTCACAATTTTTTTTAATTAACATACCTGTAACTACATATAAAAATAAAATAAATAAATAACAAAGCTAAATGATTCATTTATGGTAATTTTTTTTACTTGAGCATGTTGAGCAGTATTGTTACCCATACTTGAGTATACCCAAGTGTAGGTGTTAAAAGGATAAAACAGTATAGCAGGTTTTGTTTTGATTATAGGTGATCAATGCAACGGATGATACATTTTGGGATCAATTTTGGTCCGAAAATGTGACCAATGTCCAAGACATATTTACTTTAATTCCTGCTCCTGAGATTCGTATACTGAGGGAAGAGGCACCATCAAATTTAGCCACATTATGTTACAAAGCGGTCGAAAAATTAGTAAAGGCAGTGGATAATAGTTGTAGAACACAAAGGGAACAACAAACTGTTTTGAATTGTTGCCGTTTGTTGACAAGACTATTGCCATATATTTTCGAGGATCCTGATTGGAAGGGATTCTTTTGGTCCAGTTTACCTGGCAAAGAGGATGAAGAAAGCATTCCATTGGCTCACTCTCTACTTAACGCGCTTTGTGTACGATCGCATACTAAATAACAAAAGAAACAAAAAAAAATTGAATTTCTTAATAACATGCGTGTCTGGTTTTAGGATTTATTGTTCTGTCCTGACTTTACGGTAGCTGCAAATCGAAAATCTGGTCCTGTAAGTATTTCTCTTTATTTAATAATAATAAAAATGTTAACAGATTGTATTTTAAATTACCTAGGACAAAGCAGAAGAACTGCAGTCTATAGATAGCTGTGAATACATTTGGGAAGCTGGTGTGGGATTTGCACACTCGCCTCCTAGATATTCAATTTTAGATTCAAACAGAACAGAGTTGTTAAAATTGTTACTCACATGCTTCAGTGAAACCATGTACAATCCTCCTATGGATCTTTCGGTAACGCCGAATAAATGGATCCAGCATTTAACCAGTTCTGAAAACAGGTAATTCGTAACAACTTTTACTATAAAATTCATTCTATGTATTTGTACGTATTTACGGAAACTTTTGATATTTCTATAACAGACATGCATTACCTATGTTCACATCACTGTTGAATACAGTATGCGCATACGATCCTGTTGGACTTGGCGTACCATATAATCACTTATTATTTACCGATTCGTTGGAACCTCTCGTCGACGTTGCTTTGCAAATTCTTATAGTAACACTAGATCACGATACTAGCGGTGGTGCTCCGTTGGAAGAAGGAATTCTTGGGGATAATTTATTTATTAATTATCTGAGTCGTATTCATAGAGATGAAGGTAAAAATTGTCTACATATTTAGTTGTATTAATTTCAAACAAGAAACTCAGTAAATTATAATATTAAAAGACAACTGTTTTTATAGATTTTCAGTTTGTACTGAAAGGTATCACAAGACTATTGAATAATCCATTGATGCAGACATATTTACCAAACTCGACTAAAAAAGTACACTTTCACCAAGAATTATTGGTATTCTTCTGGAAGATGTGCGATTACAACAAGAAATTTTTATATTATGTACTAAAAAGTTCCGACGTTCTTGAGGTGTTAGTGCCTATATTGTACCACTTAAATGATTCGCGCGCAGACCAATGTAAGTTTTTTAAATCCTGGCAATCGGATAAATTTCTCTAGAGAAGAAACAATTGAAAATAATTTTTTTAGCTCGAGTTGGATTGATGCATATTGGCGTGTTTATTCTACTTCTGTTGAGCGGCGAACGTAATTTTGGTGTTCGATTGAACAAACCATATACGGCCACGGTACCTATGGATATACCGGTTTTTACAGGTACAGTAATATTACTCCGTGTTACAATAAAATGTTATACAAAATTGTAAAATATTTACAGGTACACATGCTGATTTGTTAGTCACTGTCTTTCACAAGATAATCACAACCGGACATCAAAGACTACAGCCATTGTTTGACTGTCTACTAACGATTCTAGTTAATGTTTCACCATACCTGAAAACACTGTCAATGGTGGCTAGTACAAAATTATTGCATTTACTCGAAGCATTTAGTACTCCATGGTTTTTGTTCTCGGCTCCTACTAATCATCATTTGGTATTCTTTCTCCTTGAAATCTTCAACAATATTATTCAGGTGATTCATACATTTTTCTACAAGTTATTTCTTATTTAAATAAATCTAATATAATGTTCATATTACCAGTATCAATTTGATGGGAACAGCAATTTGGTTTACACTATAATACGTAAAAGACAAGTGTTTCACGCATTAGCAAATCTACCAAGCGACTGTAATACAATTGCCAAATCTCTCAGTAAGAGACAACGCAGACATGTACCCGCTAGTACGTCTAGTGAAAATATTAACGAAGCAGCGATGGAAGGATCCCATCCTGCTCAACCAGCAGAACCTGGAACATTAAAAGCAACTTTGTTAGAAACGCCAGGTAAATTCACGTTAGTGCGCGGCGTGATGCTAATAAATTTTATTGAATTTTTGCGAGCGGATTACTTTTGTGCCAGGTATCGAGAAAATGACTGAGAAAGAGTCTGCGCATCCGTTAAGTCCTTCGGTGAACGTTGACGTAGGGAAAGCTAATCATCAAAACAATACAGACAGTTCAGAGGATTTAATGACTACTACTAAAAATACCGTTATACCGGTAGGAACATGACTGTGTTGTTAATTTATAATTTCCTTGAATATTTATAATTTATTTATTGCGTTGTTAATTAAACAGAAGGGAGGTATCAGAGTGGCAGAGTACACTAATTCCTCTAACAACATAAATCAGTGGGTTCCTTCGAGCGATTGGGTGTATCAGTGGAAGAGTAAACTTCCGCTGCAAACTATTATGAGATTACTTCAAGTTCTTGTACCACAAGTCGAAAAAATATGCATTGATAAGTGAGTAAACACGATTTACTATTTTAAGTTCTAAAATTTCTTACAATAAAAATTTTGATTATTTTCTATTTGTTTCTTGAACGTTTTAGGGGTCTGACGGATGAAAGCGAAATTTTGAAATTTTTACAACACGGCACTTTAGTTGGCTTGTTACCAGTACCACACCCTATACTTATCAGACGATATCAAGCAAATGCAGGTACAACGGCTTGGTTCAGAACATACATGTGGGGTGTAATATACTTGAGAAACGTTGAACCACCGATTTGGTATGATACAGACGTAAAATTATTTGAAATCCAACGAGTTTAAGCATGGCACACATTAAACATGTGAATTACGTTCAGCATGATTTAGAACTGGAATCTCTATTCTACTCCGGCATAAAATATTGTATCCATAATATAAAAACGTATGTCTAAATAATCTACAACTTATAATTTGCACAGAGTGATAAAAAAAAATTTACTATCCTTTTGAGCAATGAAAGGAGACATTTTTATGAGTGTAGCTTTTCTTATGAATCTATTACACAGAGTTACAGAACTGATTTTACAGACGCCGATTGCAAAACAATATAATAATGTAGTGTTACGATTCTTAACTGTCACTGACGGATGTGTAAATATTTGCGATTATGCGAGTGCCTTCACAGATGTAACTGTGACAAATCATTAAACCGAATCGAAGAATATTACTTAAGTAGCGATTCAGTTTCATTGAAAAATAGCTACTCATTGTTTGCTTGGTAACTTTAATATTATTTTCACTGTTTGTTTCTCTGTATGGAACATGGCATCGCAGTTATATCTATTATTAAATTTATTTTCCTTGTAAAATACTGGTTTTGTATGTCTGTGTAGTAGTAGTTACATGTTTTAAAGACAGCTTGATAATTCATGCAATTTAATGTAAATTGGATTATTCAAATTTACAAATATTGTGGATAATTTTTACCTTATAAATAGTGCTACAAGCTTCGGTATATTGTTTGCAGCGATTAAAATATTGAAAATTATTCTCGCAAAGGGAAAAATAATTGTATAACTTACATATTACATTTCAATAGTTTTAAAATTATACATTTTTCAGTACGAAAGGAAAGAGAAATCTGTTTAAATATTGTAAATGCACCAATAACCTTATAAAGATCTTATATAATTTAAAAGTTTAGAAAATTTTTAATTAAAATTAAAACGAAATTTATTTTTTATTTTTGTAATCTTTTTCCCATGAAATATAGATCTTCGTGTTGCAACCTTTATTTCATTTTATTATTATCTTTCTACATATTGTTTCTATGTACAGATTGTGTATAGCTTTCATCTAAACTTTCTAACTTTGCAAAGCATAATGTAGATTAATTGATACAGTTGCAATAGTTGATCAAAGAATTTATACATATATTCTTTTCCTTTGGGTACATAATTTCTGTTTAAATTAAATGAAATACTTAAACTAATTTATTAGAATTTAAATACAATATTAAATACTTTTATGTTTCGTATCTTATTTGTGTATTGGTGCAGTTACTTCTATTTTATGTATATCAAGAAAAGACGAACGAGTCTTTAATACATAAAGTCTTATAGTGAAATGATATTTAAGCACGTTATGTATACAAAATAAGCACCTACACTTAATCATTATATGATAAAGCTATACAAGTATAGTGTAGCATAGAAATTTATAACGAGTTTGGTACTCTTAATTGAAAATATAATAAAACAAAATAACAATACTTTCCTTATTACAAGCTATATTTTGATGTACAGAACTATAGCTTGAAGTTCATTGTTAGTAAAAAGAAAAATTTAATATTCTATATGATGATATATTATATAAATTTGTTTTAAATATGAAACAAAGTTACTATATAAGCTATAATTTATATGCGCGTATACGCTTTTGACATTGTCAAAAAAAGAAAGAAAAAAAAATGATATAAAATCGTGTTAGTTGCGTTTACGTCAGTCGAAAAGTTTTAGACTGACAAAGATGTATGTGTGCTTGCTGTGTGCGTTGCGTATGTACACACTTACCCATATTATGTACATGTATGTAATTAAATATTATAAAACACATAATGCTTAATCTACGTTTTCATTAATTATTACGCTATAAAACTTGTAACTTTATCCATATGAGATTGGTTTATGGGAAGAGTGAGCAGTTTATACATTAAACATGACTGGCATTTGTGCGCCGATTTAAATTTTCTTCGTTTCTGTTGCGGAAATAATACTTTTTATTCTTTAAACGAACGAATATATTGATTTTGCGTAAATTACATGTTACGTGCTTCATAAAGAAAATAAAGAAACGTTTTGGTTTTTTCAATGGTACGCTATTCTATATGTTTTTTTGATTAAATAAATTACAAGCATACATTTAGGTATAAAAAATTAAAATACATATTCTCTTTCACTAAACATAAAATATTGCAAGCTTGTCTTTCATTCCTCTGTTTGGACATTGTATAATGCCCAAAATAGTCTTCTTATGCTTTCTAGTCATAAACATTATCAAGAATGATGTCGATGTTGCATCACTATATATATCACAGATGTAAAGTTTGCCTATCCTAGAACATTTGTTGATACCTATGTTTTACTTGCTTTTCATAAATTAAAAGCTCGTTAGTGGAACGTTTATGTTTAACGATGTACGATGATAATATATTGTATCAATGATTCGTCTTTAAAAAATGTATTACATGAAAAAATAGTGATAGAGTTCTATACATTATGACTTAATATCAACATTCACTTATCGCATGACTTTGTCGTAAGACGGTGGCGGTGCCTCGTCCGTCGAATTAGGCGGAATTAAAATAGCAATGTGATAAGGTGGTGGTGGATTTTGCCTTACTACAGAAACAGGTCTAATATTTTCAGTGGGTATTGTATTGGTAGCAGTTACAGATGCGATATGTTCTTCTTGAATGCGATGCTCTTGGTGATTGTTGCGTTGGCTTCGTCGACACACAATAGAGTACAAACATGCAAATACTAATAACGTTGATAGACCCCAAAACACAAATATTTCTAAACCTTGACCCTATTTATAAAATATTTAAACGTTACTTGTAAGGAGAATTACGACGGAGGATACACTTTATAAAAGGTTCTCTTAATTAATATGTATTAACTTCGACTCACTTGATTGGCAAAGTAAAGTTTTGCAGCTGCAACGAATCCCGCTGCAAGCACAAACGTTATCCAGAGGCCGCACCGTAATCTGTAACTTGCTATCTCTGCATCATTGAACTCTGAGAAGTCTAAAAGACTTCTGTTTGTTCCGTTCGGAGTAGTATTTGATAATATTAACTGATTATTCCCAGCTGTTGTTACATTACTGTAAACAAAAAGTTTGTACATTTTCACTATATCCTTGGTTATAATTTTGTAAACACCCATATCCTTGCGCATAAAATTTATAATCAAGGGCGAATCATTTATAAGTACTTTCTGATAGACATGTATAAGTGAGTCACCCTGTATATAAGAAGAACATGTTCCTCAGAATCCTCTTAGTAGACCTTTTTCTTTAATTACTTGGGGATGTTGTTCAGCTGAGTGCGTTGACTAGAGCCAACTGGAAACCTGTTTTGAGTTTCACTATTATTAGCTCTTATCGATGTTCGTATCAGCCTGCAATTATTCACATTACTAGGACCAGCCATACTCCCAGCGGTGCTCAGGTTATGGAAACGATGAAGTGGAGTAACCATTTGTCTTAAATCCGCATTATATCGACACCGATCTACAAAACCATTAAGTACAAAAATATAGATATTTATATTAAAAATGATTCTATATATTTAGCAAATTTTCGAGTTTTTGTAATCGTATGTTAATCCTTATGTAAATAACCAAAATACTCGGGGCTGTACAATAATCAGGGCGCTTGTGTACTCAAAGTGCTTTGTGGTATTACGATAAGAACGTTAAAAATTTGTTAATGAAATATGAAAAAGGTTATCCTGATATCCAGTCATTGACACAAGGGTTAAATTGATTTAGATTTAAGAGAAGGTTACAAATTGAAAGATATTTCATATTATCTTACTGAAACGCGTTTTTGGTATAGGTGTGGCGGGGTATCGGCGGCCAGTGAAACCGTAATACCTGCCCGCCGGTTTATTAATCCAGAAATGCATGCTCCGTTCGATACTTCTCAGATACGCATTGTTATTTACCGTATCTTCGTAAGATCAGAACAGCTAAAAGCTCGATACTTTCTTTGTCACTTTCATAAGTACTTTTCGCAGCGAGACTGCGGACGGTCCCTAGTTCAAGTTCCACATCCCGTGCATTTTAAATCGATGCACTGCATCGGCGCATTTCTCGTATTCATCATTTATGGCGAACTACATTTAAGATAATTTTAAATACAGCCCGACTTTGTCTATACGACAACTTCGATCGCACACACGAGCTCTCCGAGTGAATTCAATGTATCGCGTATACGATAATCTCCATTCAAACAACACACATCAATACGGGGAAAAAGCAAGACGCGGCTTGAAATTCTACCATTGTCACTTTAAAACCGGGCAGGTATAACAAGGCTGATGAAACTTGTACACCGTTTAGTATATGTATTTCTGCCGTTTGAGGGGAATATGGCACACATAATACGTCCCCTTCTCTTTCTCGACGAGCTTCTGGTTGTGTGGTCCGTACGGTTACAAGTTACAATGACAAATGGCGCCCGGTGAATGTGATATCGTGATGATCCTGCGCGGCTTAGCACGCCTCTACAGGTAAACGGCTGAAGCTCTATCGGAGGATTGCCACAACATTCAAAGATGTTGTCAAGAACATAACCTAATAATTTTTTGACAATCACGTACAAATAAAAAAATGTATTGATAATTATAAAACTAAAAGACTTACAAGCATTTCAAACAATGTTACTTTTTATCAAAAAGTGTACATTTCAATCTAACTTGTATTTCTGTAAACGATTATTTTCCTGTTCTACTGCACGGAAGGAGAAGTACAACAATGAGTATATTTTAGATTCTAATCAAACATTGGTATTACGTCGAGAAGATGCAAAATTTTTAAAGGTTGCTATTGTAGGATTACCAAATAATGGAAAGAGTACCTTAATAAATCAACTTACAAAAAGAACAGTACGTATTCTTGTTTATGCTTTTTGTTATCTTATTTGCTTCAGCAGCGTATTATGTTAGCATTTTATTTAAAAAGGAATATCTGCTTAATGAATAGGTATGCCCTACCTCTTCGAAAGTTCATACTACAATGCACAAATTTGAAACGGTATATTCAGAGAACGATACACAAATTGTATTTATGGATACACCTGGATTAACAGCACCCCATGAAATGAAGAAGTATAATTTAGCAAAAACATTTAAGAATGATCCAGCAGAGTCGATAGCCGAAGCAGACGTTATTGGAATATTACAAGATGTAACTAATATATTTACCAGAGTTAAAATTAGCGATATTATACTCGACTGTTTAAAAAGTAAAAGGGATGATGCATCGCTGTTATTGATTTTGAATAAAGTTGATAAGTTAAAGAAGAAAGTAACATTACTAGAAATAATAAACCAACTAACAAATAAGAGCTTGCTGAAATTTGATGATATTTTTATGGTATCTGCGCTCACTGGGGATGGTGTAGACGATTTGAGGGTAAAATATTATTAGAAAAATATTAGGATAAAAGTAATTGTAACTAATTACCTATGTAATTTATGTTTCAACATATGTTTCAGAATTATCTGCTCGATTCGGCTAAGATAAATGATTGGCAATATGAGAAAGATGCATTTACCGACCAATCGCTTGAAACTGTAATAGAAGAAACAGTAAGAGCTAAATTGCTGGACCACCTTAACCAAGAAATACCATACAATATAAAAACAAAATTGGAACATTTTGATATCAGCGAAGATGGAACTATTAGTGCTGTTGTGTTATTAAAGTGTAATAAAAAACGTAACGTATTTTGTTTATTAAAGCAAAAAGGGCAACCGCTTAAAACCATAGCAATGGCAGTAGAAAAGGAATTACGAAATGCCTTTAGAACTCACGTAATAGTGCGTTTATCTGTGGAAACTGATCAACCGAAAGAAGAACAAGCTAAATAAATAACATTATCATTTTGTAATTATTGTTTGTGCATTTTTGTATAGAATATATTACAATAAAATATTATTTACTTCGAAACATGATCTTTTCATTTGTTGTAATAAAGAGATACTTGTAATATCAATTACTATTATTGTCAATATTATTGTTAAAATATGGAAATGCAAGATCAGTTCCTTTAAGATTTTCTTCTATCCATATGTTTGCTTTAGCGTCAAGATCTGCTGTAAACATATCCCTCCAACCACCACTGTTCCCCTTCCTAACAAATGTTCCTGACGTTAAAATACCGCATTCCTTCAATTCGCTCATATTCACCATTGGATTATCCCGAAAGTTTTTGATATGTAAATAATCTGATACTTCCTTCATTTGTTCATCGGTGTAGGTTTTTCCAAGAAATTTCGAAACTTTCTTAATGGCTTCAGGGAAGTCCTAGATATAAAGATATTTCAACAAATTTTAACGCAAACAAAGCATTTTTTTCGACTTACGTGTTGCATTTCTTCATAAAACATAAACAAAAGATTTGGATGATCCTTATACGCCCACGCTTCTTTTAAATGTTCCCAGTAAGGACTCCATGGCGCTAAAAGTGTTGGACGTCGAATAAGTTATATTTTATAGAAATTCTGTTATTATATTTACAATGTTTAACAATACTTACTAAGATTATTTTGAAAGAAGTTCCAGAACGTCGCAAAATCACCCACGTACCCTTGAGTTTTGATCGCTCTATTTAAATGGTACCAAGAAACACCGACATCTTTAGGATTTCGCGCGACGTATACAATCTTTCATAAAATGATTATTTTAAACAGAATTTATTATTCTATATTTCGTTGTTTCAACGATTATCTTTTACCTTACAGCCAGTGTCCAGAATCCCAGGTAACAAGCTAAACGGAAAGTGCGATTTGATAAATCTAGGCGATGGCAATTTCTCTACAACCTCATATCCTGGAACGCTAAGACCTCTACAAAATTCTTCTTTTCCTTTATCGCCCTTATTCATTTCCACAAATTCACGCGTTACTTCCGGATGATTGAACATACTGAACCTAAAAAAAAATAATATTGTTTTAGAATATACAGTATATAAAAAAATTTTAATAGGAGATTCTAGGTGACAAAATAAGACGGAAATCAAGAATACCAATTTGTTGATCGAGGCTCTGTTAAAAAGTTATTAACGTTTGAAGTTCCGCTATCACGCGTTCGCAGACTGCTGTTCTACAGGCGGGACTTTAAACGTTAATAACTTTTTAACGAAGCCTCGATCAACAAATTGTTATTCTTCATTTTCGTCTTATTTTGGTCCGTAGAATCTCCCATTAAAATTTTTTCCCAAGCATGACGCAAATGCTAGTCATTTTATAAAATGCCGTTTTACGTAAACTGTTGAAAGAGTTTTTAATATAAAATATCTTGCAAACTATAGACTATACTAACTCAAGAAACGAAAATCGTTCTGCAAGGAATTCCTTTCTTGCTCTTTCGAAATTTAAATTATTCGACAGCAGCCAAACCAGTTCCAGGGTCCATGTTGTACCTACAAAAAATTATAAAAGTATTAGTGGATATCTCAAACAAAACGAACAAAAGATAGTTCACATTTACCAGATCTTGGATGAGACAGAACCCATGTGTCATCAGGCCTTGCCTTGAAGTTGTAGAATCCTTTACCCTGTTTCGTGTACCTAAACGGAAAGAGCCACTTTTTGGGCCCTACAAGCACCCAGCCGTCTCTTTCACCTTCAAATACTTTTAGCATCTCGTTGGTAGTTTCCTCATCCAAAATTTCATATTTTGGCGGTTCGAGAGCCATTTTTTTACGCGCAGAAATCAACAATATTACCTTTAAGATTTTATAACTTACACCCGTAATAGAAATATCGAATCACTTTGTCGTTTTGTAAAACACTATTTGGACTTAAACGAAACGTATTTGTTATATTTTAATAAATTTACTTCGAACAATCAAATTCATATTCTAATCGACGAACAGTGGTGATTATAAGAGATTTTAGGTAAAAAGTTATAATATTTAAAAATTAGATCTATCGATAAGAAAGAGCCATGTTCACGCGACGAACCAGAACGCAAAACTGCCGGGAGAAATGTTACATTTGTGTAAAAAGTAAAGACGAAGGTAAGAATTGAGGCCAATAGTGACTTTCACCTGACTCAGATGTCCCCTTTCTTTCCTATTTATTAATTTATTCATTGCCGTTGAACTTGACTCTCAACATCGAACTATAAATACTCGATCGATTAAAAATGAAGTTAAATAAAAAATTACAGTTCATTTTAATTTTTTATTTATTTGTTAAAAGACCAACGATCTCTATAATGGTTGTACTATTCTTTTTGTATAGTGGAAGCATTGAATTCATCTAATTTTTGGTTAAAAATTAAGTTACTTAAATATCGGCTGCTTTAATTCAATAACGGTTGAGCGACATTTATCCATCGATTTGTTAAAACAATCTTTTGTTATTACCGTATAACATGCAGTATATCAATGTAATTACATCTTCAAAAAGAAAATGTTTTATTTCTTGTTTACAACAATCCATTTGGTTCTAATGGAAAGTATATTATTTAATTTCATCACTTCAATTATAAAAAAAGATTAAATTGTCAGTACAACTAGAGATTGTCCCCTCCTTGACAATGCGAAACATCAAATTTTTCAGGCCTAATTACTTTGAATAGGAACTTCTCGTTACGAATTTCTACAGCGATTATCAGTCTTATTTCCTTACTTATAACTGAAATAAGCGTAAAAATATCTCGTTTCGCCTCGATGAAACTTGGTTTGCTAGCTAAAGAATAAAATGGCGCTTTCTTTGGTCATAGAATCGAAGTTTTCATCAAGGACGAGCTCACTAACACTTCGAACGAAAATCGAAACGCACGAACGATACAAATTAAATATCGTTCAAGTATAAAAAATATCATTAGTTAAATTGCCATTCGTGCAAATTGATTTTCTCGTAATGGTCTATCTAAGTCTAATTGAACATGAAAAAATATGATACAATTTCGTTACAAAAATATCGATGTAACCTTAGATCTTAAATTCTAATCAAAGTTCTAATATTCTAAAGCACAGGAATGATTGTTTCAATGTATCAATATGTAAAAGATATAAGACACTACAAGACGATCGATTGAATTACCCTAATGTTTTGGACTTGTTGAGACTTAAGTACTTGTAAATAACGTACTCGTTCGTGATCTCTTTGATCTTTTCTGATTACATTTGTACTGTCGGGCGCCGTTATTACAAAACGCTTGATTCGTATCGTCTGTTTAAAATAATCAATCTGTCTAAAAAAATCTTGTTAAAAACTTTCTGGTCCCAAAATGGTCTCACGAACTATTAAGTTCTCGCTTTCTGGAATGAAATTATCATTGACACCTGTAATTTGAATCAAATTAATCTCGGCGGATCCCGTAATTTCTCCAGCTTCTTTATACACGTCGTCGCATCTCCACGTTTCATTCATGGACTTTATGCAAGAGATATTCAGTCCTATTTTGCAGAGATTCATTTCAACCTCTTCTTTTTTATCTACAGTTTTCATTAATGGCTCTACATTCTGATCTTCGACATGTGTTGCGGAATTCGACGTATCCCCGCTCATTGAATCCTCGTTCAGTTCCGTCGGTTTCTTGAAGAATATATTTCTTTCTTTTTTAACTATACGATTCTTTAGATCCGGATTCGCGAGAAACAATTGACACCGTTTAGTATGCATCTTCATGTTATCATGACGATTGAAAGGTTTGTCGCACCCAGGACAATGAAATCTACGAACAAAATACGTAATTAAAAACATTGCAATAATCGAAAAATGGGATACTAAAAAATTTACCTAATTTTACTATGTACCGCCATGTGAGCAGCTACATGAGATTGTTGACCAAATGATTTTTCACAAACAGTGCACTTGTACTTTCTGATACCTTCGTGTTTCAAAAGATGTTCTTTTAAGATCTGACTACTCTTGTACATATTTGGACACAAAGAACATTTATATTTTGCAGCAGCATGAACCTGAAAAAAAATAGTATTCTCTTATGAAATTATATTACCAAATACAACGATGAAAATTTAATAGAATATAATTTACATTTTGATGATTGTGCAAAGCTTTCCTCGACTGAACATGTTTGCCACATACGTTACACACATAATCTTGCGAGTGAACGTTTTTGTGATGTGTCTTTAGTGCCTCTTGACTGGATAAATAAGCAGAGCATAGTTTACATACGACAAATTTGTCTTTATTATGTATGATCATGTGTGCTCGTAGTCTGCCTCTCGAATAAAATTCCTTGTCGCAAATCTTACAATTAATATCCTGAAAAATTTTTTAAATTAATAAATAAAGTACAACGAGAACGTATTGTGATCGTTAATACGAGTCGAGACCTTTTTTGGTTTATGAGTAGCGCCGTGGTAACTCAGCATTTGTCGACTTGCGCTTGTGAAGTCACAAAGCTTACACTTAAATGGCCGGGCACCCGTATGAGTATTAATATGTTCCTCCAATAAAACGGCAGTTACATATTTTCTTTCGCAAAGATGACATTCGAACGGTTTGATTTTTAGATGACTCTTTCTAATATGGCAACGAACGTTGGTGACGGTCACCGTGGAAAAGTCACACGCTTTGCATTGATATGGCTTCATCTTCAAATGGCCCCAAATATGTACCTGTGATAAAACTCTATTAGTTTCATGTTGGAACCGTCCTAGCTATTGTACTGCCTATGTACAATAATTTAACTTACCTGACACTTGTCCATTCTGAGGTAAAAAGTACCACAGATATTACAGCGTATATTCTTCTTATCAATTATAGTCAAATTCTTCTGCACTTCGACCGGGTTTACAATCGACATATCAACCGTGTAGAAAGTCTCGATAGCTTCTTTTTGTTCGTCGCTGATCAATTCAGTGATCTTAGCGAATGATCTATCCTTGCTCCTGTTCCTGCTGAATTTACTATCAGGACTGAGTGGTTGCATAAACGATAGATCAGCGTCATCAGATTCTGAATCATCTTTTATACTCTGACTCGTCGCGTTCGTTGTAAGATATACTTCCGTTTTAACTTCCTCCATTTTCTTTGAAATCGGGCTCCCGTTGGTCTGGAAGGATTTTATAACGGATACACGATTCTGTTCCTCGAATATTTCTGACTTCAAATCCTTATGGTCCGTGATAGTGGAAACATTAGAATGCTCTGCATCATCATACTCCGCTGTGAAATTACTTTTCTTGTTTGTAATTTGTTTTACTTCCTCCTTTAATGGAGAATCTATTAAAGTTTCTTGTTCCTGAATTAACACGTCATTAGGGATCCAAACAAGTTGATCTATTTCTCTAGTTTGCTGAGAAAATGCACTCTCAGCCTCTCCTTTTTCTTGCTTCACGATAACCGATATTGCTTTGCTTTTCATGGAGTTGTCTTCATTCTTCTTTATAGGGCCTTCAGTTATTTCAGAGTCTTTGACATTAGTTTCTATTTCAACTGTATTATCATCAGGTATAGTAACAGTTTTGCTATTTTCATTATGAAACACATTCGACAACGTATTTACTACTAGTTCTCCCTTCGCTACTCTTTCAACTTGGGGCTTAGATAATATCACAGAATTCTTTGTCAAGTTAGATTTGTTATTTATCCAGATTGTATGTAGATAGTGCCTCTTATACGGATTATCTTTGTTCTTTTCATCCTCTGCATGCTTTTCCAGTTTCCTCTTTAGGCTCAAATATACACTGGCTTCTTTCATTTTTTCTAGTTTACTTTTCCTACCCCTTTTGCGACGTAAAGGCTGTTGTATACTATTACTAGCGTTCTGACTGGACCTTACTGTACTATTCAGAGATTCCGATCTTCTGTTGCGAATTATCGTTCCCTTTGAAACATTTCCTTTTTCTTCTAATGCTAGGCCTTTTGTACATTTTTGTACAGTCATTTGCATGACAGACTGAACTTTATTTGAACGGTCGTTATTATCTACGCGGTAAAGACTATTACTTCCGTCTTTCGTTTCTGTACTGTAGTACAATCCATTATTCACAACCAGACCATGTTTTGTACTTTTTGATCCGCTGGGCGATGGAACTTTTATTTTACGTTTCGCGTCGTACATTGATGGAAAAGCATTCTCTTTGTCAGATTCAGCATCGCTTTCTTCTATCTTATTTTTACTCTGTTGAATAGAAAAGAAAAAGTTCAGAATACCAGTAATCATTTTATTAACTCTTAACACGTTGACGGCCGTTGTCACGTATATGTGACTTCGAGTCAACAAATTCCAATTTATATTTTTTAAATTATGAATAAATTCTTATCTTTATCATGTAAATAATGTAAAGAAATTTTTAAACATTAATGAGAGGAACAACAAAACATCAAATTTTGTACCATATACAAATTTTTTTACCATAAAATGTTATACAATAACACAACATAATATACTCCAGTTACATACTCGAGAATTAAAAATCCTTTTATTGTATAAACATTCATTTTTTCAAACAATCAATGTACTTTAGTAAACGAATGGTATTTTATAAGTTTTAGTTATTGTTCAATAAAGATTTAAGTCCTGAGAGTGACTGAATGATACCGTTACTCTTGTAAGTGGATTCAGACGCGATAAAGATTTTAGTCAGACAACGAATTAAGTTCCTTACGCCCTCCGAGAGTTCCATTTGAGTGAGGTGGCAGGTCTCGTAAAAGTCACACAAGAATTCCAATGTACCGATACATCGTATACAAACAATATGTGGCAATCCATCATTCTCTTTTATCTGAAACAATAAAGAGAAAAGTTCGTTGCCCAAAGAACAAAATATTTTCTCTTTAGTAAAAAGTTTTAGGTCAATTTTAATTTTAGTTAGAAAATAATTAAATACTTCAATTTCTTATAAGAACAGTATTATCTATACTACTATTTATATACTACCTTTAAATAAAGGAAACCAGACTTAGATTTACAATCTATGTATCTATCTGGAAAATTGTTACAGTGTTAAAATAGAATTTATTTAAATGTTATTATTTTTATGTACATGCAAGATCGAGACGAGTGTAATATACTACAAGAAACACAAAAGAAAGCGATACGGAGATATTAATAATAAGAATGAAATAAGCAAGCAATCCCAAAAATATTATCCTTTATTGAGAAAAGTCGTGGAATCATTAAACAAATTCTTTTTATTGTCAAGAAATCTTTATCCGCTATTTATTTACTGGGCATTATTTTAATGACATATTAACATCTATCCTTATGAGAAAAAGTAACTCTATTGACAAGTACATTATCTCCTAGATGGAAAAATATTTTAGATTAACAAACGCCTCGTACAAAATAGGAGTTATTGCTTATACAACGTAACTATCTGAGGAAAGTGTAAATATTCGATATAATATCTTTCGCGTGATTTCATTAGCGGTACTCGCGTGAACAACTTTATCAATAATTGTTCCCTTCGACGAGAGAAAGTAATAATCACGATTACATAAAATTCTTTACGCTCGAATCGGAAATCTTTATGGAATAGTTATCATGCACAGTAATTTCTGAAACCATTTCCTCTTTACTGTTTATATTTATTCAAAACGAACAATCGATTTTACTTTTTTTAAAAACTGGAACTACTGTACATTCCTCTTTTATTATTTTCAACTTGAAATTTTTTTTCCTTTGCTAATATAAAATCATCAATAATCTTGAAACATCTTGTTACATGTAAACTGTATTGATATAAGTAGCCCAAAGATTAACATTCGAGCGTAAAGAATAAAAATTGACTTCCATTTTAAGGAAGACCCATATCGTACGTGACAAGTACTGAAACAATTATCAATGCTTTTTTCCCGTACATCAAGGCACTTACATACAGTTTTTATGTTTTTCCTCGCAGATCACATGATAAGCTTTCGTAACACAATTCACCGTAAACGCTACCCTCGTAGCGAAATCTCCGTTACTTTCAATATATGATCCAATGGAAACCAATCGATCGTTCATTCATATTCGAAAGTTTTCTTCATTGTCGATCAAAGGCAATGATATCTTATACAAAACTTAATTTATACAAATATATCAAATTTTCGAACGAACGATTGTTTTCATTGGATCCTTACATATGTACATATAATAATCTTATATGTAAAATATAATCGAAAATAGAGTAGAATATACCTTGCACATGTATTATTTAAAAGGTTTTGCGGTTTGTTTAAAAACAGCCATGTAAAAATACGTAGAAAATATTTTTATACCCATTTTAGTCTAAGTTCTTGACTTTGGAAGCCCTTTCCATCTTGTATTCACAATTTTTAACGAATCTGATTAAATCTTAGGAAGCTAACTGTGCGATAAACATATATAAATTTCCAACTGTAATAATGCACTCTATAACATTCCCTGGCTTCCTTATGATTGACGATTACTATCATTGTTTTTGCCACATTTTCTTTACCAATATCCACAATCCGAGAAAATCTTGTTCAAAACGATTCGATACGAAAAATGCTTCTAATGGCAGATTATCAAGTCATATTCCATGATCTATCCTTATTACAGCTTTGGTAAAATCTAATCGGTAGTGTTTTAACGTGCAAAAAATCTTATGGCATAGTATATGTAAATGGAAAGAATACTTAAAAGATCTCAATAGTTTTTTAAATGCACACCTACATTATGTACAAAAAAAAAAAAATAAAGAAAGAAGACTAATGCACCGAAAAGAGTAATATGAATGACAAGAGTGGAAGTGAACTGACTGAACGCCATTGCCATAATCGATCCGGTAATACATATTCTCCGACATTAAAAGTGAAATTTCACAATGAACTCTCGCGTCTTTTTAGGCCTGATAAAAGTTCATAATTGACATCACTTTGTCTCGCATCGTTGAAGAAAATCTTTACCCCTTAATTATTGCCGCAATACCCTACAATCAGTCCCCTCTACAAACGAGCATCTTATCGGATATTGTTCATTTACATATTCTAACGTTTAAAAAAAAATGAAACGTCTCTTCCGGACGGTCATAATTAACCCGTGAATTAAGTTAGTTTTACAAAAATATCAGAGCCTACGTAAGCGTCGTTATTTTTCGTTAGACACGGTGGAAGTCACGTCGGCGCCAGAAGCATTCTTCTGTTTACTATTAACAGTCTTTTTTTCCTTGAAATGTCTTTTTCTATGTACTTTCATGTTATCGCGCCTGTTGAATTTCCGCCCGCATTCCGGGCAGGCGTGTTTCTTTTCGCCGTGCACGTGCCGGTGCGCGGCCAGATGACTAGCCTGCGCGAATCTCGCGCCACACTTCTGGCATATGTACTTCCTCAATCCCTCGTGTTTCAATAGATGCTCGCTGAGGAATGTCTTCGACGCGTATCTATTGTTGCAAATGTTGCACACGAATGGCTTGGGGTTCGAGTGCTGCAGCACGTGTGCCTTGTACTTGGACGCGACTTTGAAGGTTTTGCTGCACACCTCGCAGGTGTACGTGGTCGCGTGACGGGTCTTGATGTGCTCGTTCAGAACCGAGAGGCTCGAGTAAAGATTGTAACAGAATCGACACTTAAAATTCCGACGGTTCTTTAAGTGCACGCTCCCGATGTGACACAACAGTCTCGTGCGATACGGGAATATCTTGCTACAATACTCGCAGGCTAAATTCTGCGGAGGTAAATGCGACTTCATGTGAATCTGTAATGATACTTTGTGATGGTAACTCTGACCGCAGTCCGTGCAAGAGTATGGTCTTACGCCCTTGTGCACGTTATCGTGCTCCATCAGATAGAATTTCGATTTGAACCTCTTTGGACATTTTGGGCATTGTATCGGTCTGGGATTGGTATGCGAGCATCGAATATGTTTAATCACATCGGATTTGCAAACGAATTTGGCATTGCACAAAATACAAGTGTACTGTTTAATCCCGAGATGCGTCTTCACGTGGACCATACACTTGTCTTTGCGTTCATAGAACTTACGGCACAGCTTGCAGGAGTAACCATTCTGATTGTCTGTGACAATGTGCTCCACGTTATCGTCCACGCGTATCTCTTCCCCGTCGATCTTGAACAGTTCCTCCGGATTTTGAGATATTTGCCACTTCTGCTCAAAATCCATGGAATCTTTTGCCTTCGCCGAATTGCCGTTCTTAAGGCTGGTGCTGATGATAGTATTTATTATACTGTTCACTTCTACGCAACTCTGATTCTGTAAAAGATCGACGATAGCCTTGTCTACCAAACATGAGCCCTGATCTGGAAAAACTCGCGCTCGAACGGTGGCAACGTCGTCGCTCTCCTTTTTACATAATTCCACAGTGAAACTGATATCTTCTACGTCGCTGCTTTGATTTCTGGATTCCTTGACAGACACTTCTATGTTCGGTGAGTTCGACACGCTGGTGAGAAGCTTGTTTAAAGCAGATGTTGGAATTTGAATAGTATGTGGATCTTGTTGTTTTCCAATCTGTTTCTCAATACTCTCAATGGAATTATTGCGTGGACCAACAGTTATCTCCATAGCATTGTTATGACTTCTAAGTCTATTTGCAATCGGAGGATCAGTAGCTTTTTCATTCGAGGAAGTTGACTCTGTATTTTGTCTACTTCTAAGCCACCGTGTGGGAGTTGTCTCGGGGCTATCCATATTATCTCCGTTCTCGTCGTTCATACTTTGCATAATAATTTGTTCTTTTTCAATTTCTTCGTTAATTTTTGCTTGTTGTTGACTTCGTAAGTTTCTCTGACTCTTTGTAGCTCTTGAAATGCGTGTCTCTGTTTCTCTCGCATTCTCCTCGTTCGGGGAATTAAGATTTTTATCCATGTCGTTGTTATTATTGTTTGTCGATGTGCTTGGCGTTGTTTCTTCAGTCTTTACATCAGCCTAGGAATAAATTGAAATGAAAATAGAAGTGGGTACCAGAACTTTACTAATTTTTATTAAAATACTAAAAGAATAAATTTAATCTGATATTTCTGGTATATGTTTCGTACTATGATCACAAATATATTACTAATATAAATAAATAATTTATTTATCATGTTTCTCTATATTTCTATTAACCAAAATGCCAGATAATATCTTTCTAGTTTAATTTGTATTTAAAATAGTAAGAATAAAAAAAATGAGCTGCAAGCTCTGGTGGCACCATAAACGAGCGGTAGAGCTGTACATTAAATTGAATGCAGACTTACAGTCTCTGTTAAGGATGGTAGATTGTATCGATCGCGTAACGCTTGTTGGGTGCGAAGACACTCCTCTTGGAAGTCGCAAACGAATTCGAGCTTGCCCAGACACTGAACACAGATCGCCTTGGGCAGAGGATCCCTCTCATCTATCTGCGATTCAAACAAAATACCTAAAGACTAAATGTATGAAATTTCAAGTTTTTAATGGAAGAACTGATTTTGTACAACTCTTAACTGATCCGAGAAAATTTCGTATTTTGTTAAAATTCAAATTTAAAAATAAAGGTTATGCAACCTAATTTAAACCCTACCGCTCTGTGGATACACCATTATTAAAATTTATTACAATACAAATCTGGTACCCATTCTAATATTATACAATATGAACCTTAATATTTATTGTTATAATTGTACAACTATAACAGCGTCTAACAATTAACTACAAATGTACTAAATAACAATAAACGCTTAACAATTCTTGTGTAATTAACATATAAAATATGTAAAATTATAATTATATAATTATAAATTAGAGAAAAAAAATCTTATTCTATCTAACGAGATATTAAAATGAGATGCATAGAATCACTGTTGCTTACGAGAAATTATTACATCAAACTATGACAATCGGATAAAAAAATATAAAGTAGGATATAATTACAGAGTAAAAGATAGAAAATCTTGAATATTCCAATACAAAGAAAATATGATTCACAATTAATAATTACACATGCAATTGAATATCTTATAATTTTCCATGTTTACACAAATGAATTTATCGATACGAAGCATTTGTACATTGCACATTCCCTACCAAAGGGACTGTTAATTTTATAGCAATAAAAATCGGAAGCAACATCATTAAAACACCATAAAAATTTAAAAACTTGATCAACTTTCATTTGGAACAAACACACGATATAAATACAGATATATTGCTGACAATAAAACTACAAAAATACGATTAAAATTCATCGACAAAGTAACGAAGAAAGGAGAATATTTTTTCTTTTCATGCTCTTCTCCCCCTTGTTTCGGCCATTTTTCTAACCCCCTCCTCTACGATGCAACTGGGGCCCCAGACCCCATGGCACACCTCTTATGTTCTACTCACCAGAATGTTGATTTTCGTGTGAATCTTCAGGCCTAAAAATCTCTTGGTACCTTCCTCGCCGAACACGTCTATGTATATTCTTTCGCACTGACCGCAAAGTCGACAAATTTGCGCCTCTCCCTCCCCTAGCTCCATTTTTGTTTACGTTGAAGGCTGCCTGAATACGCTTTCGACTACTTGATCCACTCTGCAAATTCTGATGTGCAACTGGTGCTGGAGTGTATATTCTGGCCGATCCCCGAGCACCAGCTACCCGTTCCAGCGATACCACGTTTTTCGGGCTCCACTGCTTCCCGGCGAAATAAACATAAAGGATAAACAAAAGACAAAATTCTAACGTTAGCGTTACTACTTGCTCGCTGGCCTGGCACGGGGATGCAGCCGCGTTCGGGCCAGACCAGCACACATTCACTCTCCCTCCCTCCAGCCCCTTCCCCCGACGCTCGATGAATTTCGACCAATCGGTGACTTCTTTTTCGCATTACGCATTTGTTGCGTTCGTGATTGGTCGTCGTTGCGCGCCTTGCTCAAAGCATTGTATACGGATGTGGTTACAGATCGACGATAGTACAGAAAATGTTTATCTACTCGTGGAATATCCTTAATTTTTTATATCTATAACATTATATGTTATACATGACTTTACAAATTACATCGGAAACTACGAACAACTTGGTTTCATTTTTACTTGTTCAAATTACCGTTAATTAATAATGTCTATCAAGTTGGTACGATGAGAATATTTTATATTTGTGAATACACGAATTTTGTAATTACAAAATCGCGCATTATCTTTATTTTGGCAATTTTGTTCCTTTTTAATTTTCATTGCGTATAGTATATTGTGTCGATTAATTTGCCAGTTTCTTTTCGTTTGAATAAAAACTGCAAGTAGAACAGATGTGGCGTGTTACGGATGACGAAGTAGTAACGAATAGATTTACGAACACGTACTAAACGCATGACATGTATCAATGCAGATGGAGTAGGACGGAGTAAGAGGACCGTGAAGAAAAATAATACAATTTACATTATTATTACCTACGCGTAAATAAATGTATCAATTAATGTGATTAATGTATTATTCGCCAATGAGATGAAACAAAGTGATATTTGTTGTACATGCTGTTGCGCAAATATTATAGTTCATCAAACATCACCAATCTGTTGAATTGTATTTTGGGTTATGTCACCGAGAAATTAACTGTTTTCAGTTACCTTCATAACTATCTTCAACACCGACTGTAATTAATGTTGAAAACGTGTATTCGCTTTCTTATATATACAAAATTTCGCGCTAAATATCAGAAAATGTACAAGATGCGCGAACGTTTATAGAACAAGATTATAAACATTTCCTGACACAATCTCCAATATTTTCGAACAATATACTTACAGAGTTTATTTTACTATTATTATTTTCTATTATTACTTACAGAGAAAGTGAAATCTGTTAAAAACTTTATTAGGTGAAATTATTTAATCGCGTAACAAAGCTTTCGTTGAAAAAACCATATTCGTACACTTTCTATTGTACTTTTCATGTACAGAACGATAAAAATACGTGAAAAATGAGTGCGTTACATAATTCTGTAATAATTTGTGATGTATTCCCAAAATCAAAGCGAAAGAAAACCCCGTTGGGGAATAAAAATACACAGAAGATTGCGAAAAAGAAAACATTCTACGAGAGCCCCTTAAAACATATTCATTTAAGGTAATAAAAAATTTTAGAAGACTTAATAGTTATACGAATGGTACATATTACAAAAATTCTTTTCTGTGATTATAGTAGTAAACGATGGGAGCAGCTACAGAAACAAAAGCAATTATTGAATAATACTAAACAAACTGTTACCAATAAAAAGAATGTTTTCTCTTCGGTGGATACAGGATTTAATGATAGTGTAATTGTTCTAAGCGACAATGAAAGCGAATCAAATAATTATGATGAGCAAAGTAATGGTAAAAGTAATGCAAATACCAGAAAGAGACCTTTGGAGCAATCGTATGAAGAGAAACAAACTGGGATTAATAGCTTATGTAATTCAAATAAATCTACAAAACAAAAAGGAGACAGAAATGAAATTTTGTTTAGGGGAAAAAGGCAAAAGATGAATTCAGATAATGATTCGTCTTGTCTTTTGATATCGGATACAGAGGATTCTGAAATCACAACAGTTAGTGTAGATGATGAAAACATAGGTAAAAACAATTAATCTGCATTGAAACTATTATGTAACTACATTGATTTTGAGGTTTACCATAATTTGTGTTTCTTCAGCACCACCAGTATGTACGAATCAAAGTTCAGATGATATTGTTGTTGTATGGTCCTCTGCACAGCAATCTTCGACCGAAACTCAATCTGAAGGAAACAAAATTCCAAATCCTGAAAAAGATAATAGACTTTTTATGATAGACTGCAGTCCGAATAAAAAAAATCTTAGTTACTTAGAATCCAATACAGCAACAACATCAAAAAAATGCAAAAAGAATAGTAAAGAAAAAGATCAGAATGAGGATCTCGAGTTACTTTTCAATAAACCTGGACTGGTATTGCCTAAAGCGCGCGATATAAGTAGAACAATAGTAATGGAAAAAACGAAATCAATTTTGAATACATTAACAAACATAAACCCTTATACACCAGAATTACCTAGCACTTCAACGGTTGACAATGCAACGTCGATACCGCAAACTATACCTCCACCACCCAATGGATTAAGAGAAATAATTATCGATGGAAATAACGTAGCTATGGCGTATGATGATCTTGATTTCTTAATTTTCTATAACTGTTTATAACTTATTGTATTACAATTTTACCATTTTCTAGGCATACGATTGGCAAAGGATTCTCGGAAGAAGGATTAAGGATAGTCATTGATTATTTCCAACAGAGAGGACATTCTGTGAAAGTGTTTGTACCTCAGTATAGAAGATCAGTAACTAAGCCATTTCTTGAAAAATGGTATGCAGAAGGGATAGTAGTTTTTACACCGAGTCGCTTTATTGCCGATAAATGGATAACTTCTTATGATGATCGGTAGGTTGTATGTTTACGATCGTTTATGTATAATTTCTTTATTCATCCATCGCGTATCATATGGTTATTTTTGTATTGATTTCAGATATATATTACAATACGCGACTATGTGTCAAGGTATTGTGATTAGCTTGGACCAGTATAGAGATCTGTATCGAGAAAACCCAGCGTGGCGCAACACAATTGTAAACAGATTGCTAGCACCAACTTTTGTTGGAAATTATGTTATGTTTCCTGAAGATCCTTTAGGCAGATCTGGTCCTACTCTGGATGAGTTTTTAAGACATTCGACGTAAGAAGTACAACCGACAAACCATGTAAATATTAAATAGCATCATAAACAGTTATAAGTTTGTATAGATAAGTTCTCCTAAATTTTTTAATAAGAAAAATTCTGTGTTAAAGTACACATTATATGTAAATATATAAACATACATTTACATATAGTGGTTACTATTTCCGAGTATACAGAAACATTTTCAACGAAACATGTTTCTTCAAAATTTCATGTATTTTAACTTCATAAAGATTACTTGATCAAATGTAAAATACAGTAAGTTTTGTTTGAAAGGGTTATAATTATTAACGTGTACAAAATTTACTCGATTAATTTAAACAGTTAAAAGGTATGTTTACATTACGTACACATTATTTTTAAGTTTCTCTTTTCCCCCCCACTGTTTTTTCTATTTATCTTTTTTGTATGAGTAAGTGCCTGAGATATTTATAGTGTCTCGCTTGTAATAGCTACGAATACGATATTATTACATACCTAAAATCACATACCAACATTGAGTAAATTTTTTTATCCTTAAAATGATTCATGTATATTGCTAGTATACAAAAATAGTTTAGTATTTAAATAATAAATTTTTGGCATAATCACAATATTCGTTCTATAACAAAATAAACAAGAACTAGGGGAATTACTAATTTACATTAATGATAAAAAATATATAAAAAAAAAAATTATTTTTGTAAGAGATTTTTTTGCACTAAAAAAATATCTTAATTTCTAAGTCATACAGTGGAGTCGCGCTATATAGCTGCAGACGAGGTTGTGGCAAAGTAAAATTTTCCGAAATGGTATGCGAAAGTGTGTGAAGAAGTTTACCAGGTAACGACATAACGCGACTCTACTGTACACGTTAATTTCAATTATTATTATACATATAATATTTCTGTTAAAAATATAAACTGGAATCGATACGAATTTCTATAAGTTCTGTACCAACTGGAAAATTGAAGATTATAAAATAAAAGAATACAACTCTTATCAGTATGCATTGAATTTTGATGCTCATTTAAACCTGAAACACGTAATTAGAAAAAGATTAATCATCTTTAGAGGACGCAGAATCCCATGTGGGCCTCCAACACCATTTACGAGACTTGCGAATACTATCCATGTTTTCTTGTGCTGCTTCTTGTGCTAATCGTTGCATCGGAGTTCTGTTATCCGAATTATAGGCTGAATTTGATAATACTGTCTCGTGCTGGAAAGCTGAGGTCACAGCTACAAACACAACATTTTATAATCCCAATATCTGTTGCACTTTTCTATCGTTTAAAATGTATATATCAAATATCATTAGGAAGATAATTACTTGCTTTGGCGAATAGCTTTTCCAAAACATATTGGTCGTCTTCGATCGAGGTAGTTTGATCTCTTTCGGATCGTCCAAGACGTCGTCCAATTAAATGAGAAACGCGTTCTCCTTCGAACAATGCTGAAACTGCATTTTTTTCTGATTGAGAACTCTTTTTCTTTCGCTTGTGTTTATGATGTGTTTTATTTAATTTCAATATACTTTCGTTCTTGTTGCTTGGAGTTATTTCATTTCTTTGATCCGAATCTTCTGAAATTTCGACTATTTTAGATTTACTAAACGATGAACTTTGTTCGTCTTGTATCGCGTCGGTTTTAGTATCAGAATTTGTACATTTTACCATTAATGTGATTTTATTTTCTATTTCATTATTATTGTCAACTATATCATGCATATTTAATACATTGCTTTCTATTTCCCCCGAGATTTTGTTTTCCTCCGTGTTACCTTCACTGGTAACTTTTTGTATTTCTGAAGTAAGCGTATCTTCGCTTTTCTTGCTAGTCTGACTTTCAGTCTCAGTCTTCTGTTCCATCAAGCTATCTTTAGACACTTGATTATTATGTTTTAAATTATCTTGACTAGGGCTGTTAATATCGTGGCTTAAAGTAGATCTCTTCTTTAGAATAGTTACATTTTCTGTCATGGCCGTAGCATTTACGGCACTTTGACTTATATTTTTACTAAGCATAGCAGCTAATCTTCGCATTTTTTCGATTTTATTTGACGAAAATTTGGTAGTCGTTGGCGTTAATTTAGATTCTCGAAATAATACGTCAGATTCACTGGAATGCCCGTCAACAGGCTCATTGAAATTGAAAAGTTCAACTAAATCGGAGGTTTTGAATAGTCTACGTTGACGTGGATCTTCCAAAACTTTGTTCGAAAGAAGTAATTTAAATATTTGTCTGTGATATATCTGATATAAAATTATTTTATAAAAATTAATAGTTATATATCGTATATTTTCTATATCTTAATAATTAAAAGTTACCTTTTCTTCGATGGTACCGGCTGTAATGAGTCTATAAATAGTGACACTTTTGTTTTGCCCAATTCTCCACGCTCGTTCTCTTGCTTGAGCATCAGTCGCTGGATTCCAATCTGGATCATAAATAATTACTCGATTTGCTCCGGTTAAATTGACCCCCAATCCGCCAACGCGCGTAGTTAGCAAGAATACAAAATACGAAGGATCCTATACAAGAAATATTAATAAATCTATTGCAATAAGTACTCTTCTTGTTGATATACGTACACTATTAAACAGACTGATCGTTTCTTGTCGCTGTGTCATGGGAGTAGTTCCATCCAGTCTTAAGTATGCGTATTCCTCGTTTTGCACTAAGGACTCTAAAATATGCATCATCTGTAAATTAAAATTTGTCATTTATTACTTTTGAATTAACATTTTCCTTCATGTAATTTAAAAAAATGAAGCGAATTAATTATTTTCTTATGTACTTGTCTTCCTTGCGTAAAAAGTAGTACTCTATGCCCTTGTTTCTTCCAAATTTTAAGAAGAGATCGAACTACCACCATTTTCCCAGAACGTTTCCAATAGCCAAACTTCTCTAACGATTCTTCCGTTGCGTCGATGTCCTCTTCGGAATCCTTAAACATGGACTCAATTAAGCACGATGGACGCTAGGATACATTAACAATATTCAGTTGCAACCTTACAATTTGACTCGTGTATAAAAACAAATCGGGATGGTTACATATTTTCCTGAGCACTGATAATGCTATTAAAAGTCTAGCTCTGTGTCTTCCGCTTTCCATACAAATCTTTTCGTGTAAAACAAATGAAACATCATCGGATCTTAAGTAATTTTTATATATTTGTTTTTGTTCGTTCGTTAAACTACAGAATAACACCTGGAATACGAATTATTTAAAAATTACAAGATATTAATGTGTAAAAGAATTATGAATTATTTATTAAAATCCTAAAATAAGACAATAAGATTACAATTACATATGGAAAAATTACGTGATACATTATATACCTGTTCATTTTTTTCTGGTAGATTAACATGATGTTGAACATCGTTTTTTGTCCTCCTAAGCATGTACGGTGTAATCGCGTTTCTAAGCATCGTGGCAACCTGAAGCGCGGTAGCTTCCTGCAGAGGAGTAGCATTCGCGTATCCTCCGCGGGTTATAGGAATCGCGCAATGTTCAAGGAACGCAGGCAAAGTGCCTAACTTGCCTGGTAGAATGAAATCAAACAGAGACCACAATTCTTTCAAAGAGTTCTGCATTGGACTGCCAGTTAATAAAAGGCGATGTGGCGTCGAGAATTTCTTTACCGCCTTACTGACCTGCGAGCAGTACAAATTTTAATAATTGTTGCTAATTTTATAACTATTTCAATTTAAAAAAATAATAATATACTAGTATCACGAAACACATTTAAGTAAAAAAATCATAATCTACCTTTGCTTGTGGATTCCTTATTTTATGACCTTCATCAAGGATGACATAATGCCATTGACTGGCAACAAGTATGTCTTCGTGTTTAAGCATGCCAGAATAAGAGGTAATTAATATACCACCGTATTTCAAGGAATGTATTAAATATTCTAGATTACCTATAGAAGTACTCGTTAGTAAGGTTTCAGGAACAATGGTATTGAATTTTTTAATTTATAGGATATTTTTGAAAGGTTGTTCAAAATCGCTGATTTGAACTATCGTTCAAAAATACCCTGTACAGTTCTAACCCACCATCGTAAGTTCCTGACTGGTGTAAAACAACTACTCTCAGAGTAGGCCACCAATCATGAAAATGCTTCAACCACTGTTCCATTAATGTCGCTGGGCAAACGATTAAAGTTGGTCCTAATCCCCGAAACCTGTTAATAAAAATATTCTATTAAAAAATTATTAATTATTAAACGAAACAGTAATGAACAATGTATTTAAAAGATTACCTTCCACCATCAGAAAGTAATTCGCTACAATCTAAACCCGCGAGAAATGCGATAATTTGAACAGTTTTTCCTAATCCCATTTCATCTCCCAATAAGCCTCCCAAAGAACGACTATGCAATTCCCAGAGCCATTGCACGGATACTCTTTGATACCTAAAAATATAAATTTGTTATATTGAATTAAAAAAAAAAAAATACAACACATTTTGTTTAACATTATTTTATTAATACTTGTATAATTTTTTCCATATAGATTGTGGAACTTTCAATAGATTATCTATTTTATGCAATGGTACGTTCTTTGGATAACCACTTTCTTCCACTCGTTGTCTGTATATTTGTTCATCCCCATCATCCAAAACTAAAACAAGGATAATATTTTATTAAGAAAAATAATTTATTTGATAATTAATTCTAACAATACTTGACACATACCTCTTTTTGCACGAACGCATTTTGTAACACACTTTCTCTTCTTGGATGATGATTCCACTTCATCTTCTAAAAGATTTAAAAACATTACATTTATAGCAACTGTTTAACAAGTTGCTTCAATCAATATGGATTATTAATTTTTATATTCACCCGAATCAAATTGTCCATCACTTGGAACATACTCGCTCCCAGAATCATTTACTATATCTACATACTCTGTATTATTTATACTTTCAATTGCTGTCTGTCTACCAGTATCTTTTGAAGTCCCGCAAGAAGTTGATGTATTTCTAGAATGTCTACTTTCTTTATTAAAATCATTGATTTGATTAGACGTGGTACTCTCTGTTTCACCGTTAATATTGTCATTTTCATTTAACCCTTTGGTTTTTTCAAATTCTGCTACTAATTTTCTTTTATCGCTTTTGAGTTTTGCTTTTTTAACAGTTCCCCTACATTCCTTAGAGCTGGTATCCGATTGCTTTAATTTCTTTAACGGAACTATTTGATCTTCATTACAAAGTACTTTCGAGTTTGTTAATCTTTTCTTTAACTCCTTCCTTTGTTTGGTAAGTTCAGCTTGTTGACGAAGATATTTTTCAAGATTAAGTAAATGGGTGGGTTTGTCGGATGTCCTGGAAAAGAAATATTGCTAAATTTTGTTTACATTAGCATTAATTCCAATACTGTTGCATACCCCTCGGCTTTGGATGAATTAGACTGTTTTGCAATTGCTTGGAATGGTGTAATCTCCCCAGTCAGAACTTGTTTTTCTAATTTTATTTGATTAAAGCTATCTAAACCGATATCAGCATCATTTTTATCAACATTAATTTTTTGTGATTCCCCTTTCGTTTGCAAATTTGTTTTCACAATTTCTTCTATTTCCTTTGACGCTTCGCGAAGAATACTTTCCTCGCTTCTCACAGACAGAATCTAAAATCAATTTTTGTTCGAGAGTAAAAACAAAAATAAAATAAATAATATATTATTTAAATTAAAGTATCGATTTCATGTTGACAGTACAATTTTCGTAAATTTAAAAATATCCAGGATAAATTTATCATAACATAAATAACCATACGTTTTATAGTAATCTAACCTTATCTGGAAAATGTTCAACAAACTCACAGACTTGCAATTCGCTTAATTTTTCATCGTCAAGTTCTTGACAATCGTGACCATCAATCTCCATTATAATGACGAACCGATGACCATTTTACAATATTTTATTGCAAAACCTGACGGCGTAATACCCTCGAAGGCAATAAAAAGAAAAAAAAAATAGCAATCTGTTAAAGATTACATTTTACCAATACATACTAACTTGTAATCATTATTTTTACAGACACAGTACTTAATAGTACAGAAACTCGCACTAATTATTTACTGTCACTTGCAAAACGTGAATTATGGTCAGTGTAAACAAGTGAAACTATCCTCGTCCATTGCTACGCTTATCGATGCCGGTAAATGGCTCATGCTCATGCGTTCCAAGAACATTGTGAAAAGTGTTCAAATCAAAATTGACACTATATGAAAATATTTGTTATTTTAATGTACTTCTGATCAGTATCGGGCGAGGAAAATGTTGATATTACTCAATATAAATATGTACGTGTCATTTAACGAGAGGAAACCACTTGGTGAACAAAAACACGTGACAGTGAGAAATTGTCACTGGTCTGATGCAATGCAAGTCTCTCAGAGGGAGCTAGGCTCCAACGACCCGGATACCTCTAAAAATGAATTAGGTTCGTCGTATAGTGGGTCGATAAGGCTTGCTTGGCACGTGAAATTATTCACAGGACTTTTTAATACAATTAATACATTCAAAGATTCATGTATTCTCCAATTTACAGAGTACAATTTTCTCTTATATTTTAAGAAACAATTTCAAGTTCGTTGCTATTAGCTCGGTGCTATCTGCGATGAAAAATTACTCTTTGGGGGTAACAGACTACCAGGTCTCACCAAGAGTTCAATAAAATTGAATTAAGATCAAACACTCGGGCAAAATAAACAGGTCAATTTTTGTGTTAATAATATGAATGAGTAGAATGAACTTATTACTTGATACTGAAGAATTTCGGTTTCAGTAGCTCTATTTATGAGCCTTTTTAAGATAACAGGAGGGTGGGAAGATAGAGAACGAGTTGACAATTAATTTCACTGATTTATAGAAGGTCAATTTCGACTGGTCCTACCTCTTGACCATTCTTGGACCTTGACTGACCATATTGCATTGACCATTGATGATCATAAGCCGACCATTGTTAACTATGAATAAATCAATGACCAACTGAAATGTTTGAACGTGTACAGAGTGTCTGATCATTTATTCACTATTCTACTTCGAACTGTTTCTTTCACATTAAAAAAACAATGAAGGCAGCAAGATGTATTGCTTCTTCGTCCGGCATCCCCGCAACAAGTGTTCCTAATCGATACATCGACCATTTTACACATTTGAAATGAACAATGAAAATAGATGATACAATAGAACAAGATATACGCTTCCTTGATCAAAAAATACCGGTGACCTAGAAAAAAAAAAAATGTAAGTGAAGTTCTTTTGAAATTATTCAAGTCATGAACGATTCTCTGTGTCATTAAAAACAGAGGAGATATTTAGGTAGGTTGTTTCAGCTTGGATACCCTCTACAGTACCTATGATATTAATTAGGGTCGTTAGAACAACATTCGTCATTGATTTTTCGTACACGTTCCAGGATCAAGCGAATTACATAACGCTGAGCGCAATGTTCAGCTATTTTAAGGGGTAGGCGTAATTCCGCGAACAACAGGTGCTTAATGCAGGAGAAGGACAACGTCGCAACGATGGGATGGAAAACGCGCAAGCGTTTCTCGACTTACGTACACCCCACGCAACTCGCTCGACATTGCCTTAAAAGTCCACTGCAAATCAGAACTCGGGCTCGAAGTTCGTAAGCCCGACAAGATAAAGTGCGACAATAATATCGGCCTGTTGATAGCGGGGGTACACGAGGGGCTACGGGTGTTTCTCTATTATTGTAGGTGGTATTATTTCTTTCTCTCTCCGCACGTTCCTCAAACTCCTCTAGTGATGGTATCGATCCTGTACTTACGAATTTTGATATAAAGAATTCTATGTTTGCGTAATCGAGTAATCCCTCGCGTTAAGATATGCTACAGATACAATGCACGAATACAACATAATGAAAATTACATGTTTTTCTTTCAATATTTTAAAGGGGGAAAAAAGACTATTCGCGTAGACTGTATTAATGAAAATATTTTTGTACGTAAAATAACTTTTTTATACAGCAATAAACCACGAGCGTATTTCTCGCTAAACGTGAATGAAATTCTCCCTCCATGTGAATGAAAACGTTTTGGATTAATTTATGATACGTTCGTTTGCAATATTGCGAATCATCGCTATAACATACTATCGTAGTAATTGTACTATTATTATACCATACTAGAACCGTAGTGTAATCTACATTACCATAAATCTACATACTATAGCTATAGCAGAGTTGCGCAAAACGTAATCTGATTACATTTGCCACGATACGATTTCATGTAACCGTACGGTAATTACCGTCCAATCAGTAACGTAATCAGATTACATTTTGCTTCGAGCAATGGTACAAATCTAACATATTGCTATATTTCCCGTTAAGCGGGTATACTGATTTGGAAGATCAATTTTTAAGCCATTTTCCAAATAAAATGATGAGAATTGTAATTATAATTATAAATATAGAAAAATAAAAAAAAAATGGTTTGATGGTGTGCAGGATTCCAACCGTTCTGCTGATCTAAAATAAATAAATAAAATAGCATCTTGATTAATATGATAAATATATATCCGTATTGATATTTAGATTATAACTCCCCTTTTACTTTAAAAGTACCAGTTCGCCAAACTAAACAATTTCGTACTGCGATTCGAGTTCCGGAGAAACTGCTGATTTCAAGGTCTCGGTATCACGAGGGTATTGGTCCCATCACTATTCACATCCTTCGTCGCCTGGCACCCGGCATGTGCGCGGCGCAATCGATTCCAAAGCTCAACGCATGCCCTCCATTTCGTTCTTCGTGGAAGAGTACTCAGTCGGTGGCATTGCTGCGGCACAACAGGACGTGCACGGAAAGAGATGATCTAAAAAGTCATACGCGTAGGGCACGTAAAAATTATACCGAAGATACAAAATCACTCAAGCGGGACCGTCGAGGGCCAAGATGTATTAAAGTCGAAGAGGAACGAGACGCGTCACGCCCAGGTAAGATAAAAGAAAGCTATCTGTCGTTGTTAAAGCGGCGTTACGGAGCGCCACGCAGGTTTGCAGGACAGAAAGGGATAGAGAGAGGGGGGTGAATGTGACTACAACCTGATGCTTCGAATCCTAAATATGTAACTAGACGTGGTCAGTCACAGTTGCTTAATCCTGCGTTTCGTGTGGAAAATTCGCGGTACCGCTAATGACCAACAATCAGTGAAGATTCAGAGTACATTTTTTTTTTTTTTAATTCACATCGAAAAATTTAGAGCCGTGAAATTGTTAGAGCGAAAAAACAAATTGATAGTTAATAGTTTTGTAATTGTTAATAAAGTAATAATTATGAAATTGATTACTCGAGATACGAACGCACTGAAATCATAGAAATTTAGTTCCAGATTGTTGCGCATCGGTACACTATTCTCTGATACCAGGACGTTTATTTGGTTTGCTCTTTGTTTGTCTTTCGAATATGCATGCCGACGTTGCGATTGGGTAAATCTGAGAGTTTGTATTGTTACGTCAAAGGTATCCTGTACCGCGCCCTTTAAAGCCCGTACATATTACACACCCTTGAAAGCTTGATTGAATTACCGTGCGAGTTATTCGCATGACAATATTGTGAAAGCTTATTATTAAACATTACAATATTCCTCAAACGTTCGAGAGAACTTTTTCGCGTATACGACTAACATAATTATCGCGACGAGATGGTCAATGAAAAGGAGAACGCATCGAACAGCTTGGAAAGTTTTAAAGAAAGAAGAAAGATCTTATTCGGAAATATGCAGTATAGTTTTACTATACTATTCATAGAACTGTGATATTTTTAAAATTTTAAACTGAAAACGAAAGATCCATCTGGTTACAAACGAACCAAATGCAAACATGAAAGAAATATTACACACTTAGTAAAAGTATTATTCTTACTGGATGTCTCAGTTACGCGGCAACATATTGAAGTCTCCGATGTGATTAGTACATTACATAAATTTTTTGCATCTAATCACAGAGTCAAATGTCAAGCAGGAAAGAAATGCTACACATTTAATTGAGCGACTTTCCTGCAAGATATTTCAATTACATAATATATTCGGTATCATGCTGATCGGTGAAACCACTCGAACGGCTGTCGCGTTATTTTAAATAAACATTCATGATCCAATTATATACCACAGCGCTATTGAATAACAACAACGATAATTCCACACTCTCGATTGGAAAATAAGTCTACTACCATACTACTGCAATATTTCTATCGTGCTACTGTTACACCATGCAACTTTACAAGGATCCATTTCAGTTCTTAATCAGTTACATTATGAAATACAGTATTAAATTATTCTTCACCTTTCCCATCTCGAAGCGTTGTTTGTTCGTTGACGAAAAGGGATTCCACGACTGAAAATCCCTTGGAATTTCGCTTCTCTAAGTAGCACGGAAACGCGATTAACGGGAATACCTGAGCGAGTTGCGGACTACGGGGAAACAATATTCCGTGCGATTCTTGCGTAGCGTATTAATCTAATTTGTTCAAGACCCACCCTTGCCTCTTGTTTCCCAGTCGAAAGGGGGGGGGAGTGTTGGCGATCGCGGCGGGAGTAGATTGAATTTATCGTGTTTCCTTATCGATGTGGAACGTAAATTAGATGCACAATTATAGGAACATCTATGGGCCGCAAACGGTGGTGGCATGGAGGCTCGGAGCTGCTGGTGCTCTTTATCCTCCATCACGTTATTCTGGGCGATGGTGATGTCGGTGAGTACAATCCACGTTCATTCTGTCGGTGGAAGTAAAGGAACTCCTTCACTGGACGCGTAGAGCACTTTGAAAAATCGTTTTATGGATCCTCGAACGTCCTCGGAATCGGGAATAAGATGACAAAGCCATAGCGATTTTCACTGATGATAAATAGTATATAACATTTTTTACAAATATTCCAAATTATCAAATATTTATAAAACAGTTTTATAAATGTACATCGTAATTATCTAGCTAATTTTTTATATCCTTACCATCATTAAACATTTTACGCGTTTAAATACTTTTTGTTAATCTGGGATAGTAGTCTAATAGTTTTCCCATTTATGGCTGGTGAATATACTCCTCGCCGTTGCAACGTTGCCCCAAACTACAGTTTGGGGGTTCCCCTTAGTGGAGAGGGAGCAGCTTATAGCCTGAAACATATACTTTCAATTAGCTAAGGAATCTTCGTAGACAAAGAATGGCTTTTTTAAAATTTTAAAGCAGAATATAGTTCAGAGAGACGACAAAACAACGTCAGGCATGTTTATCTGAAAAGCTTAGTGATAAAACTTGAGTTTCACTTTCAAGCGAAATTACGTTCAAAGGTATAGAGTGCACGTAGTTCCTCCATTGTTTATGGGAAGAACGCTTGACATTAAAGTGCAGCTGGCAGTACGAGTGGCCGCGACTCGCAAACGTAAATCGAATAAATTAAAGTCTACGAGATATGAGAACGGAGAGGATTTCGTATCACTTAGATTCGTCGTTTAAAATCGCGAGCAGAGGGATATGCTGTTATACCAACGTGATTGATGTTTTCACGAAGATTCCATTTTTCCGGTCAGCACGTTCTTTCCCACTTCGAGACTGAAAAACCTTTCTGCCGATAAGGATTTCTGAAGAACGAACGAATGCTTTAGAGAACAGCGCTCAGCGAGCAGAATAATCCCTTCGCGAAGATATACTCATACTTCTTTTTAAATAAAAATTTAGCTTTTTCAGGCTTCGTTAAAAAGTTATTAAAAAATTAAATTAAAAAATTTGAAACCATTCGCGGAAAAATTATTTTCGATTGCGGGGGTCAATTACAGTCATTTTTGGTGATTAGACATACCCCTAAATTCCTACACACTTTTGAGAAAAAAATTCGAATAGGTGGACAAATTTTTCGGCGAAATTGAAAAATTTCAAATCGTTCTAAAAAAATTATTTTCGGTTGCGGGGGTCAATTACAATCATTTTTCGTGAATACACATACCGCCGAAATCCTACACACTTTCGAGAAAAAAATTCCGGAAGGTGGACAAATTTTTTGGTGAAATTAAAAAATTTCAAATCCTTCTGGAAAAATTATTTTTTGTTGCAGTGGTCAATTACAATCATTTTTGGTCAATAGACACACTCTCGAAATCCTAACCATTTTCGAGAAAAAAATTCCTTACCGAAAATATACTGAGTGGCCGGAAATGTTTCTATAACTTTTTAAGGAAGCCTCAATCAACAAATTAGTGTCCTTGATTTTCGTCTTATTTTGGCCTCTGGAATCTCCCATTAAAATTTTTCCCAGGGGTGGCCGAGCACCCTCTATCAATAAGTCTTCACTTCTTCGTAAAAGTTCACGGAAGGGAATCCGTAACGACAAAAATATCGTAAATTCCAATACAGTTGTAATTTCTATCTAGAAGCATGATTAAACAATGCTTGATCAACGTAAAATAATAAGTTTTTCAATAAAACATTTGTCTACATATAAAAAAAAAGAGTTCATTTATTTTAAAGTTTAAAAGTTGCTCTAAACTTGAAGATCGTCGATCGATTACCATTTTCATGTAGCCAAATTTCGATCTTATTTTCTCATTTTCTTTTGTTTCGTCGAGGAGAATTGATCGTGACGAACATTCGCTGCTGTCGTGCAAAATTGTCTCGAGAATTAGTCGTAAACTTCCATTGCCAGTGTAGGTGCGTGCAACACGTAATTATTGATCAACGTGTTCGAGGAAAAAGCGAAACCAAAGTAAATATATTATTCTCAGTGAATTTTTTAAACGCGTTAAATCGTAACGTGTCTGAAACACATGCACACTAGAACAGTCTGATCTTAAGTAATTTAAAGCGTTTAATTCGCTCTCTTTATCCGCCAGAAGAATCGATTCAAGCGGAAACCCCAATACAAGTTTCCATTAATTTTAACTTCTCCCATAAGAAGGTACAAGAGAACAACACCGATCGAATTTATTGGAGAAAACTTGCTTGATCCATCAGACCAATAAATAACTCATTGTTGTATTTGACGACTACATAAAATATTTATGTATTTGCTTGTAGTCTCGGGAGTTCCCTTATACCACGTATTTCCTAAAAATTCTTTTTTCCACTCACCAGAGGGGGGAAAAAAAAATTGCTACCATGATTTCGCTTCGAGTGGCAATCGTTCCTCCGATATCTCTTTTCCTGTCGAGCGGATGCGTTCATTGAAAATTCAAAGTCACCATCGATTTCCTATCACCGTCTCCGATACTTTTCATTGCACCTGCATCTCGAGGATTTCATCGTACTGGTTTCACCCACCTGGCACAAGAGTGACTATTATCGTTGCGATCATGGGATAGGCAAGATGTGTCTGAAACAATAAGGAAGACAAATCAAGCATCCGTATCGATCCTTCAGTTTATGGAAAACCGAACAAAAGAGATACACGGGGCGTGGGTTATTTTTACCTACTAAAGAGCATTTTGTTTCGAAATGTGTAGAAGTAAATCGTTGTGTTATTTCTGTATAATCTGTAGTAACCGTTATTTAAATTAAAAAATCATCCGAGTCTGCACGTCGTTGCCGACGACCCTTGAAATTCGCGGTTTTTTAAGGCATCGTCGAACAACAAGCGACATACGCGTTTGATCCTCGCCCACGACTACTCAACAATTATCGAGCCGTACGTCCCACGCGACTACGACCTTTACAAACAGGGTTCTCCTTTTTCGCCCTGTATTTGTTTCCATCCGCCACCCTTGAGCCGTTTCTTCCATCCTTTTTAAGCTTCAGATCCTCGCGTGTTCTTCCCCGAATCCATCTTTTCTATTTTAATCCCAAATACATTAAATCAGAAAAATATTTATGCGACGCAGAACATGCTCGTTAACTTTTTGTGTTATTACAACTTCAAGAAAAGAAGTCCTGATCTTTGAATTCGAAACACTTTTTACAGTAAATTTTCACATAAAATGGTGATAGAATCACCAAGGGAATTCAACTTGGGAATATGAAAGCAGAAGGTTCAACCTTTAAAATAATCCTAAGAAGATTATCGGATGACCTCTTTCCGTGAAGTTTGGCCAATCGTGGTAACCGTATTTTATTCGAAATAAAACGTTACGCCATTGTACTTCGCGCGACGACATTTACCGAGATGGTCAATTTTCAAACGAAGGTCAGAGGAAATGAAACATCGTTTGCCTATTCCCCAGCACTTGAGAAGTAACGAGACCTTATCAGAAGAGGAAATTTCACCTGCACTCGCTCTCTCAGCGAGATAGTTCAAAATCACATTTTCACGCTACGGGGCAGAAGTTTTTGAACCATCTGTAACACTGTTAATTTTTTAGATCACAGTATGCAAACATCTACGCTTAATACATGACTCACACTACCTTCATAATCACCGATGCATTTATTAATCAAGATCCTGTTGAATTTCTATCGACGCGTTTCAACATGTTTTAGGATGTCTGTTCAGCGAAAGCCTCTGCAATCCCCAAACGGAAACTTGCTTCAATGGTAATGTCTGGTATCCGTTTTATAATTAAAATGTCTGCACAGCTAAATAAGAGAAATAAAATCGATTTCACGTCTTGCTGTTTCAGACCTGGCATTCGGTAAATGCTTGCCTCTGTACGCCGATCTGAACGACGAGGATTACTATCAGTGAGTACTTCTCTCAGTGGGAAACAAATCAACTCTATGAAGGAAAAGCGGAGCATCTTGAAACAAATTTTCCTCTTTTTTTTATTCCTAATAATTGCAAACATTTCTTTTCTCGTAATCTAAAAGTTCAATTCTACATATATCAGCCAGTAGCGGGATCAACGTGTAATCTAACTACAAAGTAGTATTGTCTGTTCATGGCCAGCCACCAAGAAGGCTTATTGTTTATTATAGTATTATGATTTTTATCTTGGTATGTTCCTTTTTGTGTGCAAGTGTACGCTGAACGAAAACTGTTCATAATTAATGCCATCCTTTACAATGAGCACTCCTTTAGTTTTACTGTCCGACCATAAAATGACTTTACTACTGCAGCCTAGTCGAAGGGAAAGCGTAAAGTTTCCTACTACCAGAATCATTATAAACTTCGCCAGTAAATCAATTTAATCGTGACAATTTGTTAACCCGTGAATAAATTTATAATCTTTACTTTGTGACAGGTATGACTTCAACGTCGACGAATTGGAGCTGCTGAGACTGCAATTAGAGAGGCTGGAAATCGATGGGTACAAATGGGCACATCCCTATGCGCAGTGTATTATGCAAACGTCCTTGTACAATTTACGTCACGGGTATAATTATTTTTGTTATACGCCTACAATTTATAACAAGTCTATGATTTTTGATGATTATAATGTTTATGATTTTTTTGTAATTTCTATACCCCGAAGCTTGTACATGATATCCAAATCGCCATGCATACGTTTCAGAGAAAATTACGATCTCAGGTTGTGTCAGCATCACATGCAACGCACACGTTATGAGAACGACAACGCTATCGACCAGGCCAGAGTAAGTTGTAACAATGCGAGTTATAACAACGTATCGTTTTGCTCTATTAATTAATTCTCGTTACAAGGTACCTGCTATAGCCATAGTAAAATTTACGCCGAACAACGGTAATTCCGGTAACCAGTTCGCCAGCGAACTGTACTATCCTCCAGGGACTCCGAACCAATACATTACCGATACATTCTACAACGACGAGTTCCCACAATCATCGTACAATGAACAACCGAGAGAATCCGCGTCTAGGGTCGACAGACCGAGGTACGATTCGAACACTTACAACGAATACACGTCTTTGACCAATGAGAAGAACTACGAGGACCTTGAGAGCAAGCTGAGGCAGAAGCTCGTGTCGTTCGACGGGGTGGACGACAGGCTTTATCGAACTAGGAGACAACCGTACGGTATACGAGATTACAATGACGACGTTATCGAGTCGATAAAGAGTGCTTTGAATCAGGACGCGAAGGAAAAGTTCACAGACGACAGGGGTCCAAGCGCAATCGACACCCTACCCGTTCAGGAATTGGAGTTTTTAATCAGCGAAAAGCCTTCCAGCGATTATTTCAATAAGAAGCAGACTGGAGACGACCTGGACGTCGAGTACGAGAAAGCATTCTCCAGGAAGTACAAACACCCGAGGAAATTCACCGAGCTTTTGGACAAGGATGAACTTTTGCTGGAGAATGTGAAACGTAACTCTAAGGACGATGATTACGTAAACAATGATTACGATGACGTTGGCGCTGAGATTGAATTGCCCCAGAGGGACACTTCGTCGATGGAGAACGCGATGTACACCGAAGGAGGTCTTGTACAGGCTGTTAGCGATAAGTCTGACAGCGATGGAGACGGTAAAATTTTGAATACCTTGTATATTGACAAAGGGAAGACACGGCCGACCCGGGTGCTAAAAATAACAAAAAAAGTTGTAAAAATTCGACAAAATCTGTAAGGGACGAGATGTGTCCTCCTCTTGTGAATTGTTATATTATGAAAAAAAAGGTACTTGCGAATAAATTAAATTGATTTGTAGAGAACACGTACGACGCTCTTTTCGACGACGATTTGAATGAGTTTCTTTGGAGACGAGAATTGGCTGGATTTAAGAGGCGCGAACGCTTGGATGTGAAGAAACCAGGACCACCCTTCTCGACGAACAACTACGCGTTTAAAACTCCGTCTCCGCCTAGTAAATATTTTCAGTAATTCTTTGAACTTTACACGCTGCTCAAGAATCAGGGGATTAAGTTTTTAACCATTTTAAATGATGTCTTTCCTGAAAGAAGAACCTGATCTAATTATTAAGCTCTAATCCTTTAATTATTTTGAACAGTGTGTTTATAATCATTTTTAATAACGGCATCTTACCTGTAACTATGTACAACTGTAGCTGTGGAGGATGAAAATCGATCTGACTCGAGTGAAGCCGAACAGGACGTAAGTGGCAACTATAAAAAATGAAATAAAGAAAAATAGTTAGATCAAATGGTAAGTGGTCGCGTAAACGCTATTTTTCAGAAGGAAGTATTGTACGTTCCATTTGTGAAAAAGGAATTAAAGACTGAACATCAGCCAGAGAGTTCTTCAAGATCGTACGACAATGTTGATTTAGATTACGTTTACATGGAGTTTCGGCAACCGTTCCATACGTGGTCCGAGGGCGAGCACGTTGTCACGGAGGTAACATTTGAGATAAAACTAGATCTGAACGTGAATTTATAACAAAAACATAAACAAAACAAGTGTGTAATATGCAGGTGGGCAAACTATTAGGTCTGTCAACAGGAACGTTAAAAGACATTCGAGTCGGTCGTGCGGAAGTAACGTTTAAAGTCGTGGACAATAATAAAAATTATAATGCTACCGACGTGGTCAGCAAGATAGGTATGTGTTCTTTACGCCGTGCAGAAACAATAATAAAATTCACCGATTACCTTTTATTTTCAGATGACATACGTGGCAAGCTGCAGGAGAGTTTAAGTGTTGACGTGATTCGTGCAGGCATAGGTGACAAGGTTCATCTTGAAACATATTTAAAACATGAAAATTTACAAGCATGTTTTAGTTGTAACGTACACTGTTCGGAATAATTAGAGAGTCGTTCGCTTAAATGACATTTTCAACAAAATATCGCTGCTGTTCGTGACAGTATTTCTTTCGTCTTCTAATTGTTTTGAGTAATGATGTTGCAATGATTTGATAGCGAGACTGCTTTGTCGAACGGACGTTAATAATCCTTTTGTCTTAAGGCTAAATTACCAGCAACGTTAGAAGTGGCCGGAGTCTCAAGCGTGTTCGGTGCACTAGTGGCTGCAGGTGTTGCAGCTGCCGGTGCAGCCGCGGTCGTGACGTTGGTAATTGCACGTCGTCACGCCAAGTCTCGAGCCAAGCTGGCAGGATTGTCCACTCCTGACCCAGAAGCGTCCAAAGATTATCAGGATTTGTGCAGAGCGAGGATGCAGGCGAAACAGCCAACGGACAAACCGGAGTCGCCGCGTGTCACCAATCTAAGTCGCGAAAGCGAATCGAACAATTTGCCCTCGAATCGTTCCAGTACATCGTCGTGGGGGGAAGAAGCGGCTCTTTCGAACATGGACATATCAACTGGACAAATGGTTCTTGTAAGTTGACACGCTATCACCGTATATGCAAAGTGTCCGTCTATAACAATGCTGCTGTAATTCTTGCAGAGTTACATGGAGGATCACCTACAAAATAAGGACCGATTAGACGAAGAATGGGCAGCGTTGTGCGTATACGAGGTGGACTCATGCTCTACCGATATAGCCGAGAGCGAAGCGAACATTAAATGCAATCGTCCTGGCGCATCCCTTCCCTACGATCATTCCAGGGTGATATTAAACGATCTCGCTAACGCCAATAATTCTGACTATATTAACGCCTCCACGATCGTAAGTATCCTCTTCAACCGTTGATTACAATTTTTTTCTAAAGACGCTCACGTCGAGTACAGTCCATGCAATAATACATTTTTATTGTAAATTCGTTGAAACGGAACTGAAAATAGAAATCGGTAAGTCACACGACGAGCATGTAGAATCCATTACCATTCTGCATATGCAAACACACCGAAACAATTTAACGATGCAGCAATGCTTCCTCCAAGAACGCTTGTCGGTAGAGATATTTTTGCATTGTTTTAACGTCGATTACAACTAGAGGCATGAGTAAACCGAAGTACACACGCAGGCTGCACAATAACCGTGGCCATAACTTCGCAAGTAAATTCACGCGTACCGTTTGAGATCAAACGATCACGCGAACTCTCTTCTATTATTTACGCGCGCTGAATTCACTTTAGAAATTATGTCCACGTGATTTGGTTACCCGGAGGAACTTAGCAATTTTATGTATACACACCAAGCGTGCACCAATGTATGCTGTAGTTGGAATCACGTAAAATGGCTTTGACTGCGTGAAACTCGATAGTAAAAAAAAAAAGTATCTGACTTCGTTGCGAGACTTACAACAACCTACATGATGCAAAAGTTCTCGGGAGTCGCACATAGAGTACCCAAATGCGCTTTCTGTGTACCATGGAGAGCCGTGTGACTTGCTTTTACGACAGGGCTGACGAAGACTTCTTGCTTGCCAAGGGCCGCACGAGTTCCATTCTCGGTTAGCTAGATCTTCCATTGTAAGCATGTTAATGGGGAATCAACGTGTGCAACCTGTGGCTCGCGGTCTGCCAGTTCGTCACCCCTGTTTCACAACATAAGATCATAGCGGGAAGATTGTACTTAAAATAAATACTCTATCCCTTTTTAGACGGATCACGATCCTCGAAATCCAGCTTACATCGCTACCCAAGGTCCACTACCGCATACAACGGCAGATTTCTGGCAGCTCGTTTGGGAACAAGGCAGCGTGGTGATCGTAATGCTGACTAGGCTCACCGAAGAGGGTGTCGGCATGTGTCATCGCTACTGGCCAGAAAAAGGATCGGAATTGTACCATATCTACGAGGTGCACCTTGTTTCCGAACACTTTTGGTGCGACGATTACCTGGTACGCTCCTTCTACCTGAAGAATCTACGTACAGGCGAGACTCGGACTGTAACGCAATTCCACTTCTTGTCCTGGCCTGAGAACGGCGTGCCATACTCCACCAAGGCTCTTCTCGAATTCCGTCGGTAAGTATCATTTAAATACATCAAGTATTTTGGTACTTGTGGTTCTGTAATATAAATTCAACGTTGTTATTAAATATTCGTTATTATACCATTTTCAGAAAAATCAATAAATCGTACAAAGGCAGATCATGTCCCATAGTTGTACACTGCAGGTAAATAACCATATTTTTGTAAACGTTACTTATATTTTGTATATCATATGATAGTTACATTGACCATTTTATAAAAATCGTTCAATAAACAATCAATACTAAACGTAACTGTTTTGCAGTGACGGTGTCGGTCGTACCGGTACATACTGTTTGATCGACATGGTCTTGAACCGTATGATGAAAGGAGCTAAGGAAATCGATATCGCGGCTACTCTAGAACACATAAGAGATCAAAGACCCGACATGGTTGCAACAAAACAACAATTTGAATTCGTACTGATGGCTGTAGCGGAAGAGGTACACGCTATCCTGAAGGCTTTGCCCGCGCCACCCGCAGACAAATCTTTAACCGGAAGCAACTCTTCGTCGAAGGAAAGCCAGTAAGATCCGAATTAAAAATTTCAAGTTGCAGTCGCAGCGAGGAATGGCAGAGTATCCAATTACAGTCTACATAAAAGAAAGAAAATGGCCAAATATTTCTAGTCAATCATCTACGAATCTAAAAACCATCGATGAATCTTTCGTTTCTCATAATTTTCTTCCCCGAAATACTTTCAACGGGTAGCGAAATCAAATATCCTGATTACGAACTTCCGAACGAGCTTCGCTTCGATCACACTTCGTTTAAAAGCATTCGACTTTTAGTATTTGTAAGTTTTGTTATGTAATTCTGCTGGATTATTGATCACACGCGATGATGCAAACGATATGTACAAATTCGATTGTTGAACGATTACTCTTAGGTAGCGGTGCCGATCTGTAACACTTATTGCGTATCTCATTTGACTACGGCCTACTTAAATAATCAGGTACAAGCATATGGATTCGAAAGACTGAGCTATGTACCTGTTGGAATTCTAAATACCGGCTAATAATGAAATCATTTTTACCACATATTCTTGTAAAATTGCCCGTTAACGTGATCCTTCTAGCAACCGATTTTATCTGGTACTAAAATTATTTTATTATGAAAATGAACGCTTACCACCGATTATGTAGCTCAGTCTTTACATGGTTTCTTCCTTTCTTAATCTATATGAAGTTGCTATTTAAGTAATATTGAAATTATGTTGCTTCCTCTCATAGATGACTTCACTAATGTGCTTTACCGTAACTTTAAACAGAATATCAAAATATATTGCAAAATAATTAACATAGTTTTATCTGCTCAGTCAATTTCAACAAGTATACACAACGTGGATGTTCGCATTGATAAGTTTATTATTTTACATTGTGCAACCTATTCAAATTCTATATATGATTTGACTCATATTTCCATTCGAACGAACTGTTTTAAAGGCGATATACGAAACTGGAACAAAATTTTTGTTTTCAAAGTGCGAATATCGAGATCATAGTTTTATAGATTGAAATCAGAATTTTTATACTATCGTTGAATATTCTAAAAAAGGGTATGGTTTTCAATGCATGACTATGACTGTTAATTACAGAGAATGAAAATTTATTCGGTGTTGCGCATACGGATTGTATGCGGAACGCACCGCTAAATGCTATTTATCAGTATTTTTTCTACGCGTACGGGAAAGTATGATCGAGCTGCACAATATCCATGGACGTTTATAATTAAGTATCGTCATTATTCAAAATTATGAGAATAATGTTTTATCAATGTGACACGAATTATTGTATGACCACGTAATGTAAACTTAATGTCCTAAATATCACGTGGAGGTGTTTGTTAACATGCTATCCGAACATGTTTAATCATTACCATTGTGATAATGATGTTAGGTGGTATGTAAAAGAAAATATAAGTATACGTGTTTGCACAAATTGTCACATCAATATGACAAGTTGTAAATGGAAAACGTTCTTCTTGCTTTAAATTGCGGCCCTGTTGGTCCTGTAGATCCAGCCTCCCACAGGATGAACAGACTGCATCAAAGGTTCCTTCCTTCTTATTGTGCAGTACGATTACTGTCAATTAATATTTTGTTTCTTCGTCTTTTCTATTTCTATGTTACTCCTTTTTTCTATTAAATTAAACGAATCAAATTATATTTTGAATTAATTCTTAACGCTGCTTCTTTTTTTTGAAAATTTCATTGGCACCTTTAAATATAAAGATATTAAACATATTAGTTGTAATACTTTACGTTTTGTAACTTGCAAGTTGCTTTGACTAAACTGATAAAGTTTCAACGAATTTTCAATTAATATGAATGAATATACTGTGAACGCAACGTGAAAGTTTGCTTGACCAAGAAATAAGTTTCATTATACTTTTTTTAGCACAGATTCATATAACAGATTCTATATTCTTACGCAAAAGGATGAGCTATATAAAATGAAATAATATAGTTATATAAATCTATACTATGTTACTCAAAATGTAATACTATATGTGTTATAATATAAATAAATCACTCTATGTTCAAATCAATAGAATGCACAGCATGTGTTCTTATTCCTTCGGTTTTATTTTTTTTTTTTTTTTCGGTAGTGAATCTTGTACGCTGTAGGAATGTTTCATACATTTGTATGCCTCTAATACTTTCTTTAGTATAGAGTATTCGTAAAAATAATAAAAGAAAAGTAGAAAAATAGCATATATACTTAATAAGAATTATTTATAAGACAGCAAATTTCGTATTATGTACAAAATTCATATCAATATGCTTTACATTAATCATCTTGAATAGTAGATGCATATGTATCAGGAAACAATGGATCCCAAAATCCTGAAAATGGTTAATATTTATACAAGATTAATACGTCATTTCATTAACATACGATCTTATTAATGTAATTACCTTCGGGTGTATTTTCTCTTTTATTATAGATAGTTCTATGCCGAGAACAATGATTTTGTTTGGCTTTTAATTCTTTCTCAGATAGTCCAAGACTAGCATAGTACTAAAAATAAAATCTTTCAAGATCTGTGACATATTGCACATAGAGACATACAATAATTTACCTACTATATAATAGTTATATACATACATAAAACAATGCATAATAGCACTAACTTACAATTCAATGTCTATGTGCAGCAATAACAAGAAAAGAATTATATTTAATATTGTTCAAACTCGTTGTTTACATTGCTCGGTTTCTAATGAAAATAAGATGATGTATTACCTTTTTGCACTCCCAACAAGTAACACCAGTCATCTTTGATCTTTCCGATTTATTTTTTGATGGTTTATCAATACAAGCTTCTTTTCTCTCCGGTAATCTGCAAAAAAAATAGTTACGTTAATTCATTTCACGAATTTAAAAAATTTAAATTAAATACATATGTAATAAACGAATTCTATATTAATATTTTATAAATTTTTACATTAGCAAAATGATGCTCACATATCAAAGCTATTCATAAAACACTTTTTTGTAAGTGGAGAATCTGGTAACACATTCTCAGACATTTTTTCTTCTATATCTTCCAATTTATTTACATCAAAAATAGCTTGTCTTTTAAGGTTTTCCCCTACAGCACAATATGTCTCATCGTTGCATACCGAAGAATTATAATCGGACACCTGTTTAATTGTTTCTGAAAATTTTCGTTTCTGTGCTTGGTTACCATTTTCTATAATTTGTAATGGTTTAGTCTCTTTTACTGATGTTGATAAGCGTTTGATATCCTCAGGAAAAAGATGCTCACTGGTAGCAATTATTGGAGACGAAGGAAAACCTAGAACATCAGTCTTGCTTCTAATAATTTCATTATCTGAAGAATCAATAATCTTCGACCTTTTAATTAAATATGATTCAGCTTTCTGTGTAGATGTATGTACAGTAAGTAAACGTTGACTGAGACTAGCTTGATCAACTTTTATCGAAGACAACTTTGTGTCACTAGTTATATCATTATGTTTATCAAATATATCATTTTTTCTCTTACCACTTTTCCCAGTAACTTTTGCAGCATTTTTTCTATTTAGTTTCAGATTTTTTATTTTCAATTTTGAATTCGTACGCATAGTAGGACTCTCTTCTATTATTTCATCTTCTCCCAATTTACTTTCGCAAAGATTTGTCGACTCTTCTTTTATATTTTCCTTGGATGTTGGAGAGATATATGATGTCAATGGATTTAACTGTTTGTGCTCTTTATAAATTTTATTATCTGTAGTTTGCTCGTTTGGTAAAAACACAAGTTTTGACTGTTTCAATTTTTTACCATTTTGTAACAAAATAGTATCAACATTGTATAAGTTACTGATTCCTAGTTTTCTGTGCCCTTTGGATATAGGTGTACATTCTATCCTGTCACTATTATTCCCCATAAAAGGATATTGATTTTCTTTGTGCTCCACAGATACATTGGCACTATCTTCGTGACAATCATTTGTAGAAATGAAAATATTTTCCTTTATCGGTATGCATGGGCTATGGTCTCCAGAATCGTCTAAAATAAAATGACCATGCGTTGCATTGGTCTTTTTAGATTTAGAACGACTCTTGACAAGTATTGGACTTCTTAATAACTTTTCTTCCGTGTGCTTCGCAGTGGATTTGTTATCGCTTGAAACGCTATCATCTAAAGAGGACATAGTGTCAGAATTAAATCGATTTGTAACACTTTCGTCGTTTGCAGCTGTGAACTTTGTTGCATTTTCAGATGTGTGACCTAATTTGTTAGGCGATTTTTCACAATATGCATGTGTCTGCGATAACGTAACACTACAATATTAAAAAAATAAAGTAAGAAATGAACATCGACGATGTTACTGATGCAAATACATAAAACGATGGTCAATTCTATAAAAATTATGCGTTAGCAATAGAGATCAAAACTTACATATCTTTATTGTCACTCTCAGACTCAAGCAATTGAAACGGGATCTTAATATTGGCATCTTCGCAATATTTTCTTAACTTTAAATATTCATTCCATAACTCTGCAAATATAAGAATAACTAATAATTTAAAGCAATGTTATAGAATTATAATTTACTACATATTTGCATTTACCACGCTAACTATCAACATATTAGAAATAATACTCTATGCATGAAAAATTTCTCTTGTACTTTATCAAAACTGCTTAAAAACATTAAAAACGTTAGATTGATAAAAAAAAAAAAAGTTATTCATAAACATGCATGGATAGTACATAGTAAGATATATAAATAGTATGTATATTGTTGCAACGACATATGACGCGCTAAAAAACGAAGATGAAACGAAACATGATTTATTATCGATTTTTTTTTCCAAGAAGAAAATTCATTAGAGTCGAGTGAAACGAAATAGATCGGAAACACAGATTAATAATAGTAAAAAGAATTGTGATATGTACTTACTTTTATAATTCTCGAATGCTTTTCCAAGCATCCCGGCAAAATTCTTGGCAGCTTTTCGTGCGACTTCATTTTCTATAGAACAATTAAATTGGAGAACATCTGACGTAGCCATCAGTAAAGTGACGAGGTTAGGTGTTTGTTTTTTTCGTACAATTCAATTACCCCGTCCTTTTTTTTTCACTCGCCATTAATTAATTTGCTGCATTTTTTATTGTGTATATTAGTATCACACCGAACATAGAAACGAACAAATTCAATAAGGAAAAGATTTATTATTCATTCCCACAACATTGTACTGCTGATCACTTCGTCGAATGAACGCGTCGTCTCCTTTCGTATTGTAGCGCAATCCGCCATAACACTGTCACAGATTGTATACATCTTGCCGGATAGAAGCACACGTCCTAACCTCATTTTCGTACGCGTTCTGTTGGGACCACTTCAATCTGAAACGTTCGTGAAAATTGTGTTAATTTTATTCCCATCGTATGTACATGTTATTACAAATTGTTGCTGTTTAAAAATTTTTTTTTTTTTATTTCAGTCGTCTTCGATATATAAAAGATCCCCTAACTTACATAATTTTTTAACCACCTAACCAACAAAAAATGATTTACTTTATAGCTTTACTAATTTCTAAACACGAACCACGGAACTGCTACCGAAATACTGACGTATCTTTTATTCCGTCCTGAAAGAATTCTCCTATATTTATGTACGTTTTGTTTCTTTATTACATATCTCGTTAGTGTTATGTACATTACATCCTTTAAATACTTGCATAATAAATAAGCATTAATATCTTATATAAAAAAAAAGTCTTATGCAATAAATCAATATTCAAGGTGCATCCAATGTAAATTTCTTTCAAGTACCTTCACTCTTCCAGCTTTTTTTTTTCTGTCTTACTAAGAACCTCGTTCGTTATAACAAAAGATATCGCTTAACATAAAAACCTGCACGTGTACCACCAAATACGTTTGAAGGAATTATGTTTCTAAAGAAAGAGAAATGTGTCTGTCTGGACAAAACATTTTGTTTACCATTTAAATGTACATACATTTTACATTTACTTTTATGTATGTACATCGATGTATACTGGACATCTCTAATGTCAAAAATAAATCTACATTTGAAGAAACATAAAAAGAAAATATTGAAGACTTTAAAGCTCTTATGTCATATGTTGCACGAATGTGCACTATTATAAAGAGCATATTGATATTATTAAAGATACAAGTACTGTATTAAGTAACTAGTCAGATATTAATAATATATCAGTTATATACAAATTATACACCGAATGTGCACTTACAATTATGAACAGATAATAGTCTATAAACTTGGATGCAGTTGTACTTCCTTGCCTAGTTAATTTAAAAAATAGCAATTTAGACCTTTTCCAACTTTATACAAAACGTAGTTTTTAAACGCTGCAAAGAGCTATATATACAAGTCATTACGAGCTGAATGCTGATTGAGAGGATGTCGAGGGCAGGAAAAGGGTTTGTGTCAGGCTGGATGCCGGTTTACCTGGGGGTCGGGTGATAGCAGGGGAAGGATTGTAAGTTTCCAAACCGTAGCGCGACATGAGCGCCAATAATGCACTGCGAACACCAGCTGTAGCCAGGTGTGACCATCTTCCGGAACTCATCGCATCATCACCAGCATAAACTGCATGCGCATCGAAATTTCCTGACTGGGACGTATTCGTATCTGAAAAAATTACATTTAGGATAACAATACGCCGTGAATGTAAAATGCAAGCAAAGGGAATAAAGCTCACCTAAAGATGGTGGATTCAATACAGGAAGATGAGATTCCAATTGTCCACTTGGTCTTGAACTTGCAGCAAGTCGAAGTTCAGTATGCAATTCTCCTAATAACTGCACTACTTTTGGGTCACTCTGCAATTACGAATTATAATATTAAAATTATGCCATACTATTATATCATAATAGTAGTTGAACACGAAATGATAAGAGTACAATGTTTAAAATAAAGAGCACATAGTGTTTACCTCATTATCCGATCGAAGTGACATGAGATCATCAACACGAATTGGTTTTCCCTGATTTAAGGCATTTGTGAGAATACTTAATTTTCGAGCAAGACTATCTTCTGCGCATAGTTCTGTCATATGAGAGCCAGAATCACCCTTGAGCCGTGGTTTAACAGGTGGAGGACTAGCATAATAGTATGACGAAGGTGAGACCATAAACGGCCCACTCTGATTAAACATATTATCTCCTCCATAATGTGATTCCGTACCAAGTCGACTTGGATGAGAATTGTAGCCTGCTTCCATTTTTAAACGTTTGGAAGACCTGAAATCAAGTCAAAAGTATATTTACATATTTTTATTAACGTCACATTGAAATTTATCGAATGCAGGACATATATTTTTATATTAAAACACAATTAATTAGTAGATATATTTAATAACAAATATTATAAATGCAAATAATGCCATGATGAAGATTACATGCTACGGTGAGAATTCTTAAACTATCATGAACTTCTATACCGATTGGCTTAGATTATGTTAAATAAAATAGAGTAACGTTTGTAGAAATAATAATAGACGTAAAATTAAGCATATTTAAAAACCATGCTATTACTTTCCAAATGATAAAAGTAATATTAATAAATTACATAATGCTAAATAAAATTCTATAATTAGTTGAATGCCATATGAACACATGAATACCCAACAATAACACTTATTTAATAATTACCAGAAATCATGCAAATGATACTGTGTTTCATAAATGTGCATATTAAAAAAAGCAAGATTAATAAATCTGTACTTTGTATGGATATACATGCAATTTAATAGGCAGAGCATATTAAACTTTGTTCATACTCTGTAAATTTTATTTCTCATTATTTATTGCATATTTATCATTTATACCTCTTTTAACGAAGTAATATGACAAAAACAATTTAATAAAGAATCACAAATATTAAGGTCGTAATATAATAATTTGTTGGATTTATTGCATCCTCAACATTTCTGCATGAAACGATCAAGCGTTTTATTTTAGTCATAAAGCTCAAGCACATGAATTGTTATATGATACACAAAACCAAGTCTGATGTGAATTATTAAACTGGACACCCTGGGTATAAACATATATTGTACTGATTTGGAACATTCATTACCTATTTATATTCTTATAAGTGCTATAAAATTTGCCCTCTATCATTCAGCCACATAAACATTATTTCCTGAAACATAATGTTTTTCTGATTAGATATCTTGCCAATTAGTCTAATTTGCTTATAATTATTATTGTTTTGTATTCAAAGTGTTATGTTGTTTTCTACAGATTCCACAATATAATTTATGAACAACAATCTATTACATAAATAATAATTATATGTATAGTAAATCTAATATATACATAACCAAATGCATGTTATCTATATATTAATTATATGCTAAACAGTTATTTATGTATTAAACTAATTTTTATGCTTACAATGTCAACTTATTTCTTACATGAACTATTTTACTGCCTACACATGTATCATTTAATTACATAATAAAGAAACGGTATATATTTAAAAACTTGAATGCAACATTGGTTTTGACTACACAAATGACAGGAATGTACAACAAATTCCTTAATATGCATCAGATAAATAATATTTTAAAACATTTTATTAACATTCATAACAGCATTATTTTTGCAAAATATTATAATTCGATTGTAAAGTAACTTAATTTAAAGATTAATCACCAAAATTAAATTACATTTCAGTTTATTAAATTTTGCCAATGTTAACGTGAATTTTTAATAATTATTAAAATAGTAGTAACTACAATGTATGAACACAAGAAATTAAATTTTGTAAAAAGCCTGTTTTGACAATATTTATTCATTAATTTCTTTAAATTATATTCATTTATAGTTGAATCATACTTTCATTCTTGTATAAAGTAGCAAACATGGAAAATATATTACATTTATTAGTATTAATTTAAAAAAAATTATGTTACCCTTTATCGTTATTTAAAATAATTATCTGTTATATTTATTTCAAAGATATTTAATAAATTCACCAGAATTATTTGTTGAAAAATGTTTGCGAAATTTCTATTAAAATTTTTGTTAAAATTCTATTTTATACTACTTCACAGTAGTACATATCAACTGTACATGTTTATAGCATTAAATGGTTACGCAAAATGTAACATAAGATGATGAAAATCATGTAATTCGGGATAGAACGTTTATTTAGCACTGAATGCAAGTAATTTTCAATCATCCTTTTTTTTTTATCATTTCATGCGATACAGTTTCAATTTGAAGAAAAGTAAAATACTTCCACCTATCTTATCTCACTATGTGTGAAACAGTGTCATTGTAACATCAACATGTTATTTATTTTGACACTTTCTACATAAAAGTAACAAATATATTAAGCATTCGTTTGATCTTATTGTGGAATAAGTAGAAAATTAACATATACTTTGCAGTCATTTTGGAAGAGTACATCATTGTGTATAACGGTATTCAATTCATTCCCAAGGTCCCAGTGTTCATTGTCAGATATGATTCTCTTAAAGGATTATGGTTACTTAATTCGTAAATTAAAATATAGACACATTAATAGGGGCTAGACAAATTAAACGATAATAAAATATTTTAATAACATTGGAAATTCATTGTCCATAAAAATGTTAGGCGAATGCCTGTGGACATTAGTAAATATTTTATATTACAGTAATTCAATAGTATTTTACATTATGAAGATAATACATTAGATTTGTCTAAATTCCGTATTTCATTATAAGAATGGCACAAATATAAAATACATGCAAAAACATGAAAATATTTAACAGATATCAAAAACTGCCATTCGTATATTGAAACTTATGATAACTATCTACTATACAGAATAACGAACTATAACACAGTTGCGGAAATTTGACCAATTAAAATATACCTAATCTATAAATGTGAATGTTTAAATAAACCGAATTAACGTAAATAAAATGAATTATCGAAGGAGATGGCCGCAATATTAATATTTGCGTAAGACATTCACATTTTAGTCTTGACTCCCTGCCATTCCACGTCTTCATCTTCCAACAGCTTCTTCTTTGTATCCATTCGACCTATTTACACTCCAAGACTTTATACATTATAAAGATCATCTACTTGTTCGCATCATTTTCTCATTCGTTTCATGTATCGTTTTCATGCGCTTGTAAGTATTTCAATCTAACAGTTTAATTATGAAAATTAACAATATGAATTTCCAGTAACTTTGATCTTTTTATTTACAATCGTATAACCTACTACTGTTTTTATTCAACTTTTTGTTTTATGGTTCATCATTCAATAGTGAATATTTCACAAATATATGTATGTATCATTAATACAATTGTGAATAGTAATTATCATATATGCACATACATGTAAATCATGTAATTGCATACACAGATTTCAAAATAAAATTGTACATATGTGCAATCTTTTTACATACACAAATATGTTGTAATACACAAATATGCATATGTATGTTCACGTATCCATAAATTCCTAAATATGTATGTACATACTTATTTAGTTTTGGTCACGATATTTTTAGACGCGAAAAGTGTAATTTTCAAGCTCTTATTATGAGTTTTTAAGGCAATCAATTAAATTAGATCGCAATAGAAGATTACTCGTCTTCCTTTCGCATAAATGCCTATTATACCACTCAAACCTAATAATATTTAATATCACTTTGAAAAAAAAAAAAAAATACTAATATAGCGTTACGATGATTAGTAGTATTATAATTTCTTCGTTATTAATATATATTATTCTAGTGTTTGAAGATGCAGCCACATAAGAAACGTTATAACATATTTAGCTATGACAAATATATTGCTGTAAAATTTTGTATTTCTTTGATACATGCGTTCAAATGAAGTATCAGAACATAATCTTTGTAGCAAACCCATGAAAAGAGAACGATGTTGTACATTCTCATGTCTCTATATTCCATTGTTCTGCACTATAGCCATCGTCGTGTTTGAACGACTGCGAATAAAACTAAAATTAACTTATTTATCCATTATTGAGAGTCGCATGCAAACGGACGATGAAAATAAGATACTACAACAGTTATGTCTTCATTCTGTAAGTGATATTCCTATAACAACGCACTCTACTAAGAAAATAAATGCCAAGCACAACTGCAGTACACAGCCATCTACGTGTGTAAGCAATTAGTATCTGGTCAGTACTGGATCGCGTCCCAGTTTGTGCGAATATGTCTCTCTACGGCTACTCACCCTCCGACATCCGATAGATCTTCAATAGCCTTATGGGGGCCTCCTTTATTTGGAAGAGGAAGGAGAGGTATCTTTCCTGCAGAGCTCTCTTGCTGTTCTCGTAACTGTCGTCTTCGTTTTTTACTCCAAAGCTCATGACAATCTTGCCAAGTAGGAAGCTGTGGTGCTGGCATCCTAATATATTATATAAGAGATGTAGGTTTTATGAATAGGTAATAATTAAACACATAACAAAAACTACGAAGAAAATAAACCTTGTAGTTTCAACAGTTTTGTTCGATTATATTCCAATATGAATTAAAAAATATATATACGTAACTATGTTTTTTATATTTTAATCTTATAACTGTGTAACTGAAAGAATGTTCCCTTTATAAGCATATTGGAATACAAAAAGAAAACATACTGTTCGGGTTGAACATTTTTCAGCCAAGAACTTTTAAGCGCGTCAGCAGCCGTTATCCGTTTTTCAGGATCTAATTCCAACATTTTGTCTAGAAGATCCAAAGCTGGCGCCGGCATAAACGAAAAATCTTCTCGTAAACGTCTCCTATGTGATTTTTTTGGCTTGAGTGTGTGCCACAATGGCAATTTTATCACAGAAGGCCAAACGGCAGGTGTCGGTGTGCCACAAACTCTGGAAATCATCTCCAATTGCATCATCTCTACGTTCGCCTAATTAAGAAAAATTATATAATTATAAACTGTTAATAATCACCGTACAAATCAATTTGATCGACCATTTCATTTCTCTTACCTGAAATAGCGGTTTTTTAGAAAATAATTCGCCTAGAATACAACCACAACTCCATACATCTATTGCAGGCCCATACCGTTCTTCGCCTAATAATAATTCAGGTGGCCTGTACCACAAAGTGATTACTTTGTTTGTGTAAGGACGCTGTCTATCTTCAGCATTGTAAAGTCTTGCAAGTCCAAAATCAGCTAACTTGACTTCCCCTCTGTAAAAACCAACGAATCAGATAAAATATAAATTTTGCGAAACTTTATACTAATTATTATATATGTATATGATAAAATCATGCCTATCAACTGAATGCAGGCATAGATAAGTCTCGGTTATCATAACACGTTATCTTTATTTGTTCATTATCGCTTTCTATTGTTTTACGTTTATCATCCTATATTATTTCGACTTTGTTACTGCAGGCAACTCTTGTGCATTTAAGATAGAAACAATAGAAATTTATTTTGTACGTTTCAAGCATTTATAAAAGAGGGTGTAAAAAAAAATGATCTGTTCTCTGTAATAAAGTTTACGTACTTGTTGTTCATCAATATGTTTGAGCACTTGATGTCTCTGTGTAAGAAGTTTTTACTGTGGCAGTAATTCAATCCATCTAATAATTGCTTCATAATGCTTGCATTATTCATTTCATTGAAGTCAACCATTCCGGATTCTAGGAGGCCCATCAAATCGTGATCCATATACTCAAACACAAGGTAGAACGAACCTTTGTCCTATAAAAAATAATATTGAATATCATTTACATTTATCTAATAATATACTTTTGTTCGGTACATTACATATTCTAACGCCATACCTTTCTAAAATCTAAGGCATCTTGTTTATCTGTGACAATTTCTCTTAAATTAACAATATTTTTGTGATTAAGTTGCCGCAAAATTTTGATTTCGCGAACTGCCGTAATGGGGAATCCTTCCTTCTCGTTCTCTAAGCGTACTTTCTTCAATGCAACAAGCACAGCAGCACGTTTATCTTGAGCTTTGTAAACTTGTCCATAAGTGCCCTCGCCTATTTGAGCTATGACTTCGAACACATCTACACATCGTTCTCCCCAGTCTTTGCCACCAGAAGCCGACATGGGCGTATGACAATTTCTCGAACCTCTGCGTTTCAAGATTTTTGGTCTCTTTAACTTCGGTTTAGGTGGAATACGCTCGACTTTCGTGCGTGGCGGTGTTGCATTTGGATCGTCCTCTCCGCTTAAATCTTCGGACCCAGGAACAACTAAATATCAAATAATAATAAAAGAAATATTACACAGAAATAATATTTATTAGGCGACGTTTTGATCAATTCTGAAATTATTTATGTCCATGCTTGGCGATATAACTTACCTGGTGGCATTGGTAAATCTTTAATACCCTTCTTTAGTGGTGGTTTTGGAGTCGAAGCTGGAAATTTAATTTGCGCTTTACTAGGTGGACTTGGGGATCGACTTGGCGGCGAATCTATACTCTCCAAATCATTTTGATTGATTCCAGGTGGCAGTGGTAATCGCGACAAACTTTTTGTTTTAAATGCCACAATGGGAGGTTTGGGAGGATCTACAGACTTAAGAGGAACTAAATTGTTAGGCGGATTGAACTTTGACATTGCCGTGTTTGGCGCTGGAACTGGAATTGGTATAGGTGGCGGCGGAAGAGATAAATTTGGGAGAACAGGTACTGATACAGGAATAGGCACTGAAATAGATACTTGTGATAAACCCGATGCGTTTGCGGACTCAGATTGTGGCAATGGTGGTACTTGTACATTTGTAACAGTTGGAAAGTTTGGGCTATTTGTAACAGTCATTGGACAATTATTAGACGTAGTGCTCGTAGGTGAAGTATATACAATCGCTGAAGGCTGATTAACTCCAAACATTAAATTTGGTGCACTCGCAGACTGTGTTATAGGCAATGGTGGAGTCTTTCCTGCGATTCCGCTATCGTCAGACATTGGTACAGGAATATCCACGACATCGACAGATTTCACATTTTCATTTGGTGTTTTTAATTGTTCCTTGTGATTCACATATTTATCTTTATTGTCAATGGAAGTTTTATTCTCAGAGGATGTATTACTAGCATCTTTGTCGTCAGTGCCTTCTATAATTTGAACTTCATCCTGATTAACAGCTTTTTCTTTAGCTGCCTGTAACTTTTTGTACGCCAATTCCCTCATATTTCTGTCTTTTACGAGTTCGGCAAATAAACTAGTCTCACTAATTTTTGCTTGCACTCTAAGATTTCTTGCTGTGATACTTGATGGACTCCTTGCTCTCGATCTATGAGGAGAAGGAGAAGGTATTCTCGAAGGACGAGGACTCTTTGATTTGTGTTTTCTTGTCGATTTGTGAGTCTTGCTAGGAGATCGAGATTTCTTTGGAGTACGACTTCGCCTACGTGAACGCGATCTTGAACGTGACTGAATCTTTCGCCATCTTCCAGGACTTCGAGATCGTGAACGAGAAAGAGGTAAATGCAACCTAAATAATAATTGATCTTTTTTACGACAGAAAGACAACTGATTTAAAAATCATCGTAAATTAATTGATTTAATTATTTGATGAAGCTTATTTATAACATTGATATACAATACCTGCTTCCGGTAGGACTTCTAGTTGACCTCGACTTCCTTTTATCTCGTCTATCTTTTTCGTGATGTCTATGTCGCCGGTCAGTTTCCTCGCGTCTCCTACGTTTACTCGAAGGTGAAGAACTAACAGGATCTCCTCTACGTCGATGACTTACAGGACTCGGACTAAATTCTCGTCGTCTCGTGGATGGACTAGGACTATGCCTGAGTCTATGCACCATTGGATTTGGACTAAAATCTCTTCTTCTTGTCGGGCTATGGTCCCGTCGTCTTGTCGGTGGACTTGGACTATGTGGCCTCCTACGACTTGAACTAATAGCGGGGCCAGGACTAGCGCTACTACGTCGAGTATGAATACTAGGACTATGCTTTTGCCTTTCAGGTGTATGTTTCATTGTAGATAAACCTGCTTTATTATTTTCTGGTGTTACTGTTCTTGGTGGTAACAAAGGGGTATGCGGAGATTCTGTTGGCCTTGGAGGAAGAGGCGGAGGAGTTACATTTCGCGGTTGCCTAGTCATTTCAAGTTCTACGTCGCTTAAACATCTTTGCTCCTGAGGCGTCGCGGGCGATATCGGGGAAGTACTATCTTTTAATGGTAAAGGCGGAGACTCTGACCAATTTCCAACTGGTTTTTCATGTTCTGGACTTATGATGATTTCATCCGCAATGCGATGTGGACTCAAACTGTGCGAATGTCTCTTGGACTTTCGTTTTTTCTTCTTCCCTGTACTAGATGAAGGACTAAGACTTCGTTTCTTTTTCTTGTCTCGTTTGTGCTTCTTCTCTTTTCTTCTGGCATATCGTCTAGACTCCTCTTCGTATTCAGGCGTTCCACCGTGCATCGCCGATGGTTGCTGTTCATTTGGTGAATAATGTCTACCAGAATGCCTGTGTTGAACTGGTGGTGATGGTGAAAGACTAATAGGCGATGCTCCAAGAGCACGCACCGGACTACCGCCATAGTAACGTCTCTGTAAAACTGATTCAGGTACTTCTCCGTCCGTGTAGCTATTACCCCTACTTTCCTCTGATTGAATTTCCCCTGCTTCTGGTTCAGATAAATCTTCGCTGCTCACATCCGAGTATTCGACCAAAGGTTTAACAATCGAAGATGCTACAGTCGGGACATTTTCTATGGATTTATCTCTTGACCTCTTTTTCTTCTTTTTACCAGAACTCTTGCTTTTTCCATGCCTCCTGTGCTTTTTATCAGATCCCTCGAAACTGTGACGATTTATATCACTGCTTGTACTACCACGTCTGCGGGATCGAAATCTTCCATTACGTTCAGCTCGTTCGATATCACGACTGCTGGGCATGTCACCTACTAAAATACAAAAATATTAATATTCAAAGTTAATATATAAATGTTTTTATTCTATTATATTAGCTCGTGTATTTAAATAAAAATTTAAAATACTACTTCTGGGCATTGCAAGTTCATGTGGCTTGTTATTTCATTTTTCCTCTGAAGAAGAAATATGAATTTAGAAATGAAATTCTTACTTACATAAATATATAAAAAAACACTGGAGAAACAATTAAATCGAATTTATTAAAATACAACTATCCACTTGTAATCACTCAGTAAAGCTCAAAATATCATTGGAAATTAACATTTGACCAACTTCAAAATTAACTACAATTTTAATTTATAAACGATCGTATATTTTTAATATTTACCTTAACATTAAATGGTATAAAAAGTTTTATAATTATTTCTGTTCTCTTCAATACTTTGATACTGATCGTCATGGATATACATACATACATAACAATACGCACATGTAGAAACACACGAACACGACCATGTATAGTTTAGTCGACGTAACAATATTCTCAAATAGTATGATTCTTTAATAAATGTAAAAAAAACAATACACTTCAATAAACGGTGATATTTTTCTAATGCGAGCAAAAGGATTTATTGAATAGAAACTTATGACCCGTTGGTTTAAAGAATATTTTGTAGAAAAGAATTTTTCGATCGACCTAGCATAGCCGCCATTGTTAACGACTGGGTGGCAAGGGAGTTGCCCAGTTTTCACAAAAGAAAGTTATTTACCGTTTATTAAGGATTGGTAAGTTAATGGTGAATATTAGTACTCACGTGCAATATAAATCTTGTGATATCACGCTGAATGTTGGGTTCCTTTGCATCGGGCTGGTCCAACGTAGCGATGAGTGTAATGGTTACGTTCGTTGCTCGGTAAACAGTTTCAACACATATTTCGTAGGCCACGAGTAAAATTTGATAAAAATTAATAGCTATCGTAACAATTAAGTGTTCAGGCAATCATATTTTTATAATTTTACTAGCCGATGCATCATATCTCATGAATTTTCTTTGGATTATATTTGGCTTTCTCATAAAGGTAGCTCAGTAAGTAGAAGCCATTAACCATTAGCACGTCATTATTGTCTGACGTAATAAGCGGCAAGTGCTGCACTCTTACGGTTAAATATGGAGTAACCAAAGTTGCGGAATAATCTTGAATATTATTCTACTCGATGCAATTGGTTGAATTAAATTTATGCTATGTAACTGTTTATAAATATAAATAGTCTGTTTAACGTCAAATATTCATTAATAAATACAAAAATTATAAATATAGACGAGGCATATAATACAGTGTTTCCATGAACTTTCATCTTTCATATTGTCAAACCAAGTCTGAAATAATATAATTTATATATTTTACTTCGAACAAATATTGATATTAATTTTAATATCACACTTCATCAATGATATTATTTACTTACTAATTATCAAACATCATATATTAAAATATTTGTGTTCAGTCTCATTGGTTCGTTGTGTCTTTGGCCAGTAGTGTGCATTGAGCTTGTGTATTATAATTTATATTTTATTATCGACACATGAAAATTCTGCATAATGCAGCTAACTGACTACAACACCCTCTATAGCCCCTATTCTGGTTTACCGAATTATTCGCGACGCAACGTATGACGTATGTATCTTTTCTATGATTGAATCAAAAGACGAAAGATAGAATTGAACAAAATAAGCGAGTTAAAGAACCAAAAGTAATATTTCTATTTTTTATTATAGATTTCTATCAATCATTGTATAAAAGCAAAGTATGGGGGAACGTTATAATATCCATAGTCAGTTAGAGCATTTACAATCGAAGTACATTGGCACAGGCCACGCTGACACAACAAAGTTTGAGTGGCTTGTAAATCAGCATCGTGATTCTTGTAGTTCTTATATGGGACACTATGATCTACTAAACTTCTTCGCTATTGCTGAGAACGAAGCGAAAGCACGTGTTCGATTTAATCTTATGGAAAAGATGCTGCAACCTTGTGGTCCACCTCCAGAAAAACCAGAAGATTAAAAATTCATGTGAAAAAATGTGTTTTGCATATGCAAGCGATCGCCAGTATTTTATATGTTTTCGTGATTTAACCAATTTCAATCATTTTTACATTGAACGAATAATGAGTGCATTTGGTTTAATTGCAGTTTAAAAGTTACTTGTACGAGCTGAAGGAAATAAACAATTTTTATTAACGAAGTTCCGTTATAACCTTTCTATAAACTTGATCATATGTTAACCAAATGTTTGCTTTAATATCAAAATAGTTTCTTGAGCTATAAGTTATTATCATAGACACTTCATTGTGATATTTGTGACATAGATAAAATAAGAATTTCGCGATCAAAATGCCAATTCCATGTTCAGTAAATTGTGGAAGGGATGCTATTTTAAAAGTAAGTTAAATAATTGTCATTTTCAATGTATATGAAATTCGTTAAATTAACAAAATTACAAAATAATGTATTGAATTGCAGAGACCTAAAACTGGACACACCTTATGCAAAGACTGTTTCTTCTCGGCCTTTGAAACTGAAATTCACAATACCATTGCGACTTGTAAATTATTTAAGCCAGGTGATAAAGTTGCTATTGGAGCATCAGGAGGGAAAGATTCAACAGTACTTGCATATGTTTTAAAAACATTGAATGAACGATATCAGTATGGAATTAAACTGTTTCTTTTATCAATTGACGAAGGAATCACTGGTACTATAATAAAGGATTACATTATAGTCGCAAAAATTAGAAAACAAAATGACCGATTTGTGTGAAATTTATGGTGTTCTAGGATATAGGGATGATAGCTTGAAAACTGTTCAACAAAATAAAACTGATTATGGATTACCATTGAAAATATTATCTTACAAAGAATTGTATGGATGGACTATGGATGAAATTGTGGCAGAAGTATAAATACAAGTACATAACTTTCTATTAAGATTACTTGTATTTATTATTTATTGTTTATTCTATTTCAGATAGGTAAAAAGAACAATTGCACATTTTGTGGTGTTTTCCGAAGACAAGCATTGGATAGAGGTGCTGCTCTTTTGGGTGTAGACTGTATTGCAACTGGTCATAATGCTGACGATATAGCAGAAACAGTTCTTATGAATATTTTGAGAGGTGATATCGCAAGACTACAAAGGTGTACTTCAATTATTACCGTAAGTCTGTTGTAAAAGAAAATGTATATGTGTGTGCCATGTATATTCAAAATGCATATTTTCGTTTCAATGTAGGCAGGAGCAGATTGTATAAAACGATGTAAACCACTAAAATATGCTTATGAAAAGGAGATAGTTATGTATGCATATTTCAAACGTTTGGTATATTTTTCAACCGAATGTGTATTCGCACCAAATGCATATAGAGGCCATGCGAGAACATTTCTCAAAGATTTAGAAAAGATTAGACCTTCGTCTATATTGGATATAATTCATTCAGGGGAAACATTACAGGTGAAAGATAACATTAAAATGCCTGAACGGAGGAATTGTTCGTGTTGCGGATTTATTTCGAGTCAAGAAATATGTAAAGCTTGCATCATGTTAGAAGGTTTAAATAGAGGTCTACCGAAACTTGGCATCGGGAAATCCAGTAAAGTTAAACAAATGTTGAATTCAATTACTAACTGTACAAATGAAAACGACAAAACCAAGAACGACGAAAATAAAACTAAAAATATAGAGTTTTAATGTCTTTATAGATCTTTAAAAAATTATAATAAATTTTGAATTATCATTAATGACGCAATAAATTATCAAACTGACTTACCCAATAGTTTTTGTTACTTCCACGCCAAATTATTTCATTTAAAACAAATTGTATTATGTTCAACCGCTTCCAATAATTATACTTTATTGTGGAAAAGTACATATTCGATTCAGATTACTTCTTGTAGTTTTTATGCGTTCAATAATTATTTACAATTTGATTTTTGGTAAGATTCTTCTTAAGCCAGTAACAAACTTTGTTCATAGTATGCTCAAGTGATATTTCTTTGCTAATTTTAAATTATATATGCAGCAGCTTTTTGTGTAATTGGTGTTCTACAAAGAGGGCAGTCATTGGTAATATCATTGGCACAGTCTTCGCACAAGCAGACGTGTCCACAAGGAAGAAGAATAATCTCACGGGGATTTGTACGACAAACAACGCACAACTGATCTTCCCTAAGATCGTTATCTCGCACTCTCTGTCTTCTTTCTTTTCGAGACGCGGCAAGAGATTGTCTCAATTCCTCTGACAATCTCTGCTCCGTTCTATCTTTCCAATAACGTCGAAATACTATTCCACCAATTAGCAATCCAATTGCACCAAACATAAAACATAACAATCTAAAACATATGACAGTATGAGAAACGTTCAATTTAACTTTATTATATTCGTATATTACAAGAGGTATACTTTTAACTGACCTGTATGTTTTTTTACGGTCATCTAACTTTCGAATTAGAGAACTAATTGACATGCTTGTTAAATAAAATGGAGTACCATCTAATGGTGGTTGTAATGTAAGTGTTTTAGATTTGGTTCTTGTTAATTCACCTATGCCTGTGATAATTGCACCTTCGCGAAGTAGTTCTTCGGTGGATTGCAAACCACGCTGACGCACACCTAAATTTAATAATGATTTTTATACTTATTAAATTTCCTATGAGACAGGTGTATTAAACTGCATTATCTACCCGTGAACCAACTCCACAAGTGATCTGCGAATGATGGTGCACTCGGTTCAAAAGTATCAGACACCACATCCATATCTAAAATATCTGCTGTTAATGGTTCTAATACTTCTACAGAATGAGGTCCTCGTTGTAAAACAAATGGTACAGTATTATATACTTTATGAACTGTGCGCTCTTGTTCTGACCTACATAGAGAGATAAAATAATAATTTTTAATTTAAAAACTACATATTTTTCATTATGTATTCCGGTAAAACAATTAGCATACCAAAAGCCAGCAGTGGTTCTAGCTACAACATGTTCCTTAATTTTAAGCTTTTGTACAACACCGGTTATCCTTTTATTATTAATGCTGGTTAATGGCTTTCCTAAGGGTTTTATAATACCTCTAATGGCTATGTAGCCTATTTTAGTACCAGCGCTATTATCCGCAAGGTCTTCCAGCTGTGGGCCCACTTCATGAAGTTCTGCATCCTGTTGGGAAACTGAACGTTTTTAGGTATTTTTAAACATTGCACACATTGCTATAAGGATTGATAAAATCTTTATTAGATAATCCTGTTGAATAGAAAACGATAAATTTGCAAGCGATCGAATAAATAACAATCTTGGTAATAGATGTTTTGTTTACCTTGACTGCTGTAATTGCGTTCTTACAGTGAAAGAACTGTTTTAAACAGATACTAAAAATGATACTGTCAATTCCGAGGGCTACTATTTCACCTAAATAATCCATGATTAGGTTATATTTTTAAAAATCGCCGTTAAATTGTTGTTCATTTTTAATATTTCTATTGAACCTCGTGCAGTCCATTCGGTTTCATTTTAATAGAATATTTTGAAAGGTAAAATGTGTAATTTTTGTCGGGAAAGAAAAACAAAAAAAATTGCACCTGCAACTGGTTATAAGTAATATGAGAACCAATTGCAAATGTAACGTTGTCAGTAGTGTTATATCATGTGATCCAGTGATATAACTAAACTAAAATTTGCTCTGCCAGGTTGGCGAGCCTGAATGCGCGGTTAAAACCGTTAAAACTGCTCCCAACGTTCATTCGGTGGGATTTCATGTTAGCAAAGATTCGAATATCGTTTAATGTTCCAGAGCTCTTTGTTCGACGCAATTTGGTAAATTATTACATCGAAACAAGGCTATCAGACATATCTGAATGAATCAAGATTCGTTTCTATAATGATATTAGGTTCTGTATACTAATGTTTGTAATCTCATAGTCTAATTGTCCCTTATTGTCGTATACTGCATTATACTAACTTTATATTTCACAGAATCTTACGTATTCTCGAGAAAATAAGAAATATGCGAGTAAGGTAGTGTCGTGAGAAAAGAAATTTTATTGGGAACGTAGAGACATTCAAATACGTATAAACGGTATGTATAAAAGTATAAAAAATAAATAGCGACGACGCTGCAACTCTGCAAGTCTTAATGAGAGTAAATTCATCGTAAAGCATTCCCATCGTCGTCAAGAATGCGATTTACGGAGTACAATGATAATAACATCACTAGTGACAAATAACAATAATAATAATAATAATTATTATAATTGACATTGTACTTAATTTTACGATAAATTTCTTTAACATTCGCAGACATTTTGTTCATACATGCGCTCGCACACTCGTCTCTTTCTACCATTTGATCAATAATCATCTGTTAAAATTAAACGGTGGAGATCAATGCGACGACAAATAAAAACTAAATTCAACGTCCTAATTTGCGTTTCGAGCATTTTCCTGTAACATTTGTTTAATGTCTTTTAAAAATATTAATTGTTTCTGTTCGATTTACAGCGAACCTGACGTCCTATATTTAAATAAGAAAGGAAGAAGCATTTCTTGTGAATTGTAAATAGAGGGTGTCTCTAAATTCACGATATCAAAAACGAGTCGAATGCGCAGAAAGAAATTTCCCTGCACGAGGGGGTTTTGTTTAAAAAAAAAAAAAGTTGAATCGTTTTTTTTTTTTTTAACGAAATCTCGCGTTAGAAAATTTTACTGCATACTTTTGACTTACGTACGAACAAGCAGTCAATTTTTGTTCGTTTGTACTCCAAATTACAAGACACTCTGTGCATATTAGTTATTTTCTACTTACAGAGCGCACGGCGCTCGTTTTGAACAATTTCGCCGTACGTTTGTTCGATTAATCTGCACAACCGCGAAGTCGTATTGCAAACAAGACGTATGGATACGTTTAAGATATCGTTTTCGTGTTACGAAAATGTGAATTTCTGTAAGAAAATACTTCGCGTTTCATTTTTCACAAAATGTCGCTTAAGCTACGTGTGTATAGTCCGAGGAATACATGCCAATAACGTGTTTAATGTCTTTCTCGAGACGTGAAATTACGGTCCAGACAATTTTCGCGACCCCCTTTAGTTAAATTCTTTTTACGGCGATCAACTTGTGATCTACATATGTATAATCGTCCGCAATTGTCGGACTTGGAACGAACGCGATTGGGGTCAATCGCGTGTAGCAATATTGGTGATTATTCGAACTTCTCGCGCACGTGTTCGTTCGATAAAATAATTCAGGTTGTAAAACGTATTACATTGTTACACAATGTTACGTAATTTACAACTATGAATTATTTTATCTTCGTTTAATAACAACGTAATATTCTTGTGATGAAGGCACAGCATCGTTAGGCATGTTCAGTTATGTTACAATTATATTTTCAATGTTATTCGTCGATTAATACAATTTTAAACTAATATTAAATTAATGTTTTTTACATATCACGTTTCTTTCATTTCTTTTTTTTTTTCATTGTAAACATTTGAACACTTTAATTGCCTACGATAGCTGTAATGCAAATCAACGAAGCTGTATCTTCGAACGAATCTCATTCGTCTAAAACGCATGTATAAACGCATATTATAAATTAGGTATACTGCTTACAATAATTAGGAGATCGTGTTTATGGACATGATATAGTAGGGCAATATCGTTTCGAGATACTTCAGGAAAATAAATCAAATTGTTGTTTAACTTATACAACCTGGTTGAATGTTTAAAGTATTGGACAGTTTACTAAGATATAAAAGTCATTCGACTGACCATTTCGTTATTTTAAGCAGTATATTGAATAATCAGTTATCGTTTACGACGGAAGGTCCCATAATTTGGATTCACGCTACACGCAACTGTTTCACTATTAAATAAGAACCGTACAAAAATGTTATTCCCGCGATCTTAAACAAGGTTCGAATAAAACGTTATCCCCGGTTAAAGTCACTTGTGCGTTGCTCCTTCAAAATTCTTTTAGAATAACATCATACAATACAAGAATGTCCAATTCGACACGCAGTGTTTTAAAGATAACGACGCGATGTACGAAAATATGGCAGTTTCCGTTTGCGATCGACTACCACAAACCGGAATGCGAATAGACATCGTGTCAAAAGCTGGAAAGATAGAATATCGATAATTTGTCTGACAAGGCAGTGATCGAATGAATCGGTTGTTAAAAAGAAATTCGTGGCTCCCCGTACATCGAAATTGATCCCAGTCTTCGAAGCTCGACGACGGTGCACATTTCTTTTTTCCGTGTAATTTTTCACAGTTTGCTATTACTTTGATATACCCTCGCTCGAATATCCGTAACAACGGATTCGCGTTAGAAGCGCTCGTTTAAATGCTCGACCACTTCGGCTCGTTCCACGAAAAATATCACAAAGAACATCGCTCGAGTTCAATCGTTTAAAGTACAATGTGATCGTTTCTTCGTTCCACGCTAGTGTCCGTAGAAACTGTACCATTATTCCTCCCATTCGCACCCAAAACAGATACAACACCGTTCTCATCAGCTATCCCCCCCGTTCTTCAAGTTCGGTGTCCCCTTCGATTTCCTATCGGTTCGTCGCAGAGAAGCTTCGTTGCGTTTCTCGTTCCACGAGAACTTCGTTTTCCCCCTCGAGTTTAAACGTCACAACAGTTCGATCGGAAAACCGGTCTCGAACGATTCTTCGTCTTGCATTTATCGAGAACATCGATCGTTCTCTCGTTAATACACTCGACTATTGGTTTTTACAGGTCTCAAACCCGACGTTTCCCGGTGTCCTCGATGTTCAAGCATCTCGTGCTCGTCTTGCGCGTTTCCTTGATCCGTTCTTCTAATTAAAGAACAGCGACACGGATCGACAGACGATTGTCAAATACAACGACCTGGTTCGAGCCACCTGGACCTCATTTTTTTCAGCAGATCGCTTCTTCGGAAGAGACGCGACATTGCCGGTCCTCTTACCGATTCGTTTCTATCGTAACCGTCCAGGGAACGATTGCCAACAGATTTCGACACGGTCGGTGTCGTTCGATATCGATTTGTCCGAATCCTCTCCTCGAGGTCGTCTTCTGGGACACCTCTAGGCTGGTACCTGCACCACCGGCCTGTGAATCGGCACCGATATCACGTAAATGTCCACCTTCTCACCGGAAGTCTTGTCGACGATCTCCCCGTAGTTCACGGAATCGTACGGCGGCGGAGCAAAGAGATGATAAGGCGGTGGCGGTGTCTCGGTGACGACTTGCCCGCCGTTGATGACTTCCGCCCGTTGAGCGTAGGGCACCGTCAACGGGCGTCCCCCGCGACGACAACACCATTCCGAGCAGCTTACTATCAGGAAAAAGGCCACCAAACCACCGAACGAGCCAATGTACCAAACGATCGACCACGGATCCAAAGTATTGTTACCGTCTTCGTCGACTGAAATTAAAAGAAACCCATCTATAAAGGATGAAGATCGTCGATGAGGCGTCGAAGAGTCAATAAATAGCATTCTAAGAGTTAATAAATAGCATTCTTGAAAAGGTACTTTTCACTGTTACAAAAAACAATTAGGGTTCGATCAAGATAGCATTTGTTTAAAGTAACTTGAGGTAATAGACAACTGAATACGTGTCATCGATCATAAGATTAAGATTACGTATCATTTCTGACTAAAATTCTAACGATTCATCCATTGTTGAATTATATACATTTAGTGAGTGAGAAATAGAAGATAAACATTGACTTCTAGATGATTATCATTTAGATCACTATTTACGTGTCTCTCTTCCGTTTCATTGATTTAAAAATTTTTTTTAGGAAGTAATTCTGTTCTCGAAAATAAAATAAAATTCGTACAATGGAGTCGAGATGGGGGCCACGGTTTGGTAAACGATAGAGCGAGGAATAAATCGCTGTTCACGTTCGTCGTAAGTAGCAGTTATTCACGACTATAAATTCTTTGGTAATTCAGGCCGAATCAATGCTGGGATTGATTCAAGCTCAATTATGAGTCGCTAGCGCGCGTAAGGTCTCATGGAAATTACGTTCCGCGACGTGTGATCGACGAACGAATGCCGTTAATTAGCTCAACGAGAGTGAATTAACCGTTCGAGACTATAAATACGAAGTAATGAGAAACTGCTCCGATATCGACGCGAGAGGCACGGCTTTGGTTTCCTCGTCGAAGCCGCGCCTCCGCTGAGCTGAAATTTTTGCGAACAACGAAAGCGTTCGAGGCGAATTGAAATTTACAGAGAGACAGAGCGAGGTTGTTTCGCCAAAACCAGTTCTTTTTTTTTCTTATTTCTGCAAGAGCGGGGCACCGATTTTGCAAAGTCGTACGGTCGGACGAGATGCTTCGCATAACACAATATCCCCGCTACGAAGATGGAATAAAAATAACGTGGAAAGTTTTTCAAGCATTGCCAAACGCGTCTAGAATCGAGGAACGGGACTGGCTACGCGATACTACCGATCTCGGTAGTTGTACGCCTTTCTTTTTTATTGATACAATCAATGAAACGTCTCGAAATATTGGCAATATTATTGAACTTTGCGCTGAACCGATAAAAAGTTCACAGTTACAGCTGTTTCTGTAGCCTGGCGATTTTTAACCGCAAGTTGAGCTAGTATAACTGATCCTGTTAAGTTGTTTGTATACAATGTTCGATAACTCCTTATTAATGGGTCAATCTTTGTCAATTTCTTGGGCGATCAATTGCAGAAATTGTTAGAAGTTTTATTAGATGTATGTCACAGTTGTCTGTTTTTTTTTTTTAGCTACAAAATGCTTGGAATATTTTGGAGGATTGAGAAACTCTATGAAAGGACATTTGCAAGGTCAAAGATAGTAATTCCAAATAATTCTATAAAGGTAAGCAACTGTACGTTACTGAACCACAAAAATGACTAATTCGAAAACAAAATGGAGCACATGTTTGTATGACTGAATACTTAAAAATAGTCAAAAGCTATCTCGAGTCGAGTGTATCGAAATTGTTGAATATCTGGTTCCGGCGATCGGATCGATGCGATTAAATGTAGGTGTGAAGACACGGAGTTTAAAAACGTTAATCCTGTAAGCTTTTTAATCGCGTTGTTAATCTCTGCCGAGGCGTGGAAGTCCTACAATTAGCCTGATGAGTATTTCAAACAAGAATGCGAGGTCTGTCGCTTGCCTTTCAGTTCTCTAAAGTGTTCTTTTCGAAGTTAACGAAGGAGCAATGTACGAAGTGAAGATTAGATTATGTATACACATGACTGACGCGTTGTTAAAACGATATATAGTCATTGCATAATGTTCGAAATTATTGGAGGGCATTTATCGAATCGATGTTATTGTCCAGTATAACATACGACGCTTTAAATGCAATCTATATAATTAATAAAGATATGCAATAATTAAATATTAGCAATCAGTGTTATAGCTTTATACGAGTTGATACTCCGACCAAAAATGAGAACTCTGGCAACGATAGTTAATTGACGGAAATATAATCTTCTAATTACGTTAAGTACAGTGTGATGAACTAGTCCAACATTTTGCGAAACTTTCGGACCGTACATTAAGCAGATTAAAATCTATCGAATGACCAACAAGTTACATCTGAGATTCATCCTCGAAATGATCCACCTTAGCGAAATTAATTCCACTATTGATTTAAAGTACGCGTCGAGGATTGAAGGTTTTCTAGGTTGAAGATCGTACAAACGATGTTTATTGATACGTTCTGCTACGATAATGCAATGAAACATAACTGTACGCATGGTTGGATCGATCCTAGATCATAATATAATAGATATTTAAAGAACAGCAGAGTCGAAACTGTTATGACTGCCAATATACTCTCGCGTGGCGCGTATTCAGTAGTCCAGTGTATAAAAACGATTTGCTTCGGTAATATTTAACCAAATCGACGTGTAACGATGAAAGATTGCTTACCAGCATCCGTGTCGTTTTCTTTGCTCGGCAGATTCGCCTCCTTTTCGTTCGATTCCGATTCAAACTCGATTACGTATACCGTCTGCTCGTCGTGATCATCGTTTGTCAAATCGTCTGATTGGCCGCGGTTGTTGTTTGCCTTATGAATCACCTCATTGCTCTCTAATCGTCGCTGAGCTCCAGTGACATCGTAACTCGACATTCCGTGAACTGTAACGAGATATACATACGTATGACGAACATATGTAAACGATAGAGGTCAATAATTCCAAAACTATAACAATCGTGTTAACGACTCGATCAGTTGACCTTGTTTCTTCCACAGATGCTATCATACAAGCAATATTATATCGTCTATACTCTTATACTGCTCAAGACAATTTTAAAGTCTGGACCAAATTCTAGACGCGACAGAAATACAGCCATATATACAGGGTGTTCGGCCACCTCTAGCAAAAATTTTAATGAGCGATAGTAGAGGCCAAAATAAGACGAAAATCATGAATACCAATTTGTTGATGGAAGCTTCGTTAAAAAGTTATTAACAATTAAATTCAAAAATTTCAAATCGTTCTGGAAAAATTATTTTCGGTTGCGGGGGTCAACTACAATCATTTTTGGTGAGTACACATACCTCCGAAATCCTATCTACTTTCGAGAAAAAAAATCGAGTAGGTGCTGAAATTTTTCGGCGAAAAACAATTTTTCAAATCGTTCTAAAAAAATTATTTTCGGTTGCGGGGATCAATTACAATCATTTCTTATCATTACACATACCTCCGAAATCGTACGCACTTTCGAGAAAAAAATTCCTTACTGAAAATCCAATTAGGTGCCTAAATTTTTCAACGGAGAAAAAAAATTGCAAATCGTTGTGGACAAAATTATTTTCGGTCGCGGGGGTCAATTACAATCAGTTTTTGTCATTAGACATACCCACGAAATCCTGCCCACTTTCGAGAAAAAAAATAGAGAAGGTGTGAAATTATTCGAGAAAATTAAAAAATTGCAAATCGTTGTGGAAAAATTATTTTCGGTTGTAGGGTTCAATTACAGTCATTTCTGGTGAATAGACATACCCCCGAAATCTTGCGCATTTTCGAGAAAAAAATCCAGTAAGGGCGGCACTTTAAACGTTAATAACTTTTTAACGAAGCTTCCATCAATAAATTGGTATTCTTGATTTTTGTCTTATTTTGGCCTCTAGAATCCGCCATTAAAATTTGGCCGAATAGTATAGTTGACCCTGTATAGTCAGCTATTCTGGAAACAATTAACACATAAGTTTTCAATTTCGATTGATTTTCGATTACTCTGACTGTTTCTATAAACTTACAAACGACCATAATCTTTACTGACAAAACACTTTGGGCATAAAAAGCTCTCGAGTACGAAATCAAGTTTTAGAAAGTCCGGGTAATAGAATATTTAAGGGAAACCTCTAAACTATTCTCTCGAGAGATATCGAGATGTCGAGACACAGAGAAAGGAAGTTGTTTATGTTTCAGTTCACCCAGAAATTCGAGTCTACCCTGACACGATTACCCACTATTAATAGATCATTGTTAGATCCTGCTGTTTCACGGTAGACTAGCTATCATCGATGATTCAGTCCGATGCGTGTTCGATGTTTGCTGTGTAGGGCGAATTCGAACGAAATCATTGCAAAGTATCGCCTCAAGGTATCGCGTTGCACGAGTTTAGATGCAGTTCGCGAACAAATGACGAAGCTGTTCGGAGAAAATAGATTAACTAAGCATTAAACGTATCGATCTTGAATTTTATCTGAATATTTTGTCCGGCAAAACTGCAGCTGGGGAAATTAGATTGCCAGACTCGGTGGAGATGTTCAATTTGCGCCCTGAGATATTGGGTAGGACGTAAGTCCTCGCTAATCTCTGCTAATTGTGTTTCCAGAGGTCACCGTAATTAAAACGCGTAATTGATCGAGACGAGTGCGTAACGCGATCGTGAATCGTTTCGCGTTAAAGACATAAAACGCGTTCTTGCACAGAATTCTACGTAAACGCGAACGTTTCGCCGATCACGTACACATCGTTTCCTCAAAATGGACAATCGCCGCGAGGAATCTCAGGTTTTTGGACAGAACAGATATATGGGATAATCCTGCGACCTTTCCAGACATTGGCGCAATGAAAGTTACATAAGCTCCGCCTTTATCCGTCACGAAAAATCGAATGGACTCTATTTTCGTCCATCCTTCGAAGCGTACACGTGTAACGCGCTAGATCCTTGCATTCGAGCACTTAGGTGATTCAAATGCTCGTTCAAACAAACGTTAATTCGTATTATAAAGTATAAACGAAAACATGCCTAATCATGCAGTCTGTTGCAGCGATGTACTCGAGTGGCGTGCACATTCGCGCGAGACGCATTTATTCACGTGCCCGGAGGCTCAATTTGTCCCAATGTTTGTAAGGACTGTTTTCTCGACGATTCCGTGCGCATCGTGAAGAAGATAACGAGCAATTTATTGTAGGAGAGCTGATGCTCGAAGATACACGCTGAAACGAACTTCGTACGCGTCGAGTGAACTTCGTTATACTTCCGTGACGCAGTAATATCCGCCATCTGTTTATTTCGCGGTATAATAGGGGGCAGAAAACGCGAAGGATCGCCGGGTGCCTCGCGAAATTATTTATAAGTCGTAACAATGCCATTTCCCTATCGCTTTAAAAGGACCGACCTACTTCGTAATGCATTTGTTTCACAGTTTGTTAAGAAATACCGTGGCGCTTGTATTATTCCGTTCTATCTCGTTGATAAACTTTTCGCCCCAAAGTTCCCGTTCGCTTCGAAACGGAAGTGTGCTTAAAGTCTCCTGGTTCCGTTCGTGAAACAGATAGCGGCCAGACTACTGGGCTCGATGTTCCCAGAAAAGTATTAAATACGTTGCATCGATTACGATCAAGTTCGAAATTTCGCGTAATTCTGATACGAACAACGAGATCCTCCTGATCGATCGCCAATGCGTTAAGATACAATCCGGTCTATCTTTTAACGTTCACGGAAAGCGCGTGCAGGCTGTGTTAACGCGGACTTTGTACACATTTTCGAGTGGTCGACACTCGCGAAAGATTCGCATGATCGTATCGCAGGCCTTACCGGTGGGCAGTCTTGTTCGCCGCATTACGCAAAACCTTCTAGATCTATTATGTAAACATACGACGTATAAAATAAACAATAGCAAGCAGAGTTTTTCATAGGTTTCGCCCTATCGAACATCTCGATCGAGCGTCCTCGGATCATTTTATCGATTTCCTTTATTTTTTTCTCGGCACGGACGAATCGCCATCGCGTAATAATTGTTGCGTAACGCATTGTTGACTGTTTAATCGCGAGTTCTCGTTGCCTCCGCTGGAAAATTGTTTTTCGCTGTACTATTCCTGGACGCCTCGCGAGCCTTGCATTTACATACGTCTGTCTGCTGTTAAGTAATCATCTTCGTTGTGCGTACTACACGTGACCGCGTCGCCTGACGAAGTTTCACTCGCGAACGAGGAAGAAGCGATAAACAAACGTACCTCCGGTGTCGACGCCGTAAAAATTGGTTATCTTTATTTACCCCGTTGCTCGAACGCCCTGTCGCGGAAACTTTGATGCCGTTCTGCTCATTGTATCAGCGTGTTGCGTTTCACGCGGTACGCGAGAAATAACACGTTTAATTTACGAACAGACAGCGTTAGATTTCTGTTTTCTCGGATCCAACGGTAACAAACAAGACGTTGAATTTCTGATCGAACTCGCGTAAAGCACGGTACCGTTTTGTACTCCATCGTGTATACGCGTGTTGCGTATAAAACCAGCGGAGCTTATTTTAGAGCAGGTAATCTGATTCGGTTAGGGCTTGGACAGTCGTTGAAAATAACGCAGATCACGATCTTCGAAGAATGTCACACCCAACGGTATTCTATACACATGATTATCAAGTTTCTGGAGAATTCTGCAGAATTAGTTAAATTGCAGGGATCAAAGTGTTACCGCGGACTTAACGGAATCCATTTTATTATAGCACACGAAGTTGTTAGGGCATTTAATATTTTATTGAGCGATAATGATCGTTTGAGCAGGTAATCCTCGAATTATTTTCATCGAAGCATTTTTATCAGAGGCACGGTACTTTGTATCATGTCGGACCGTAATTCGTGACATTAAACGATAGTAATTCACCGCAGATATTATCGCGCAAAGGTTTATCGGTCTTGACTAAAAATAATATGTTTTCGAGGAATAGATCGATCGAGCACGAATTCCCGATCGGATTTTTTTTTGGCAGGATTTACTTATGGAGGAGCGCGATAAAACGTGAAATTTTCTCTCTGGGATTTCTTACGTAAATATAAGCATTCTATAACAAAACATTCGGCAACCCGCCAAGTCGCCGAGGGGCCGTCTATTGAACGCTGGACCCGATCGAATCTTTCGGTCGAATCGCGAACGATATCGCGTTTCGCTCACAGTTGTCCAAAGATAGGTAAAACGTGCGTAATTGAGGCAATATTTATAAAAAAAGCCGTAGTCACGTATCGCGTGTTGCATAATCGCGTACGTGCTTTTATGTAGCGATTTTCTAAGAAATATACAGAATGTCACGCGTACGAGCAGCCCTTGTGACTTATCGAAAAGAATAGTGAACGAATTTAGACCTCCGCGAATCACACACGCGGTAGCGTAGATCACCTCTAAGCTAGAGATACGCGTTAATAACAACGCCATTAATACAATTTTTCTCTTTTTTTGTAGATTTTAAGGCCACAAGTTTCACGAACTATTCTATGAGACTATGACCAACGTGCACCTAAGTCGAGGAACGGGGCAAGGTCAATGCAACATTATAAATATCACCGGTCATGAATAGATGCGTTTGGCGGTAAATTGGACGGCGCTAAATTCGCGTGAAAAGGATGCCCCCCCTTCGTGACCGAAAAGGACAGAATTATCACGATTCCGTGTACGAGACGGAGACCTTCGAACAAACTCTTTTGTTTTGAGGCCGAGTTCAGCGAAGAACTTGGCCGCGGACCAACTTTCACGATCGTCGTGTATTATTATCGGAAGTATTGTTACCTGGCTCGAGTGCACGGCCCATTGTTCGCGCGAACGCGGACGGACAAGAGTCTCGCCAGAGACTTTTGCCGGATGCTGGGTCGGTGGGACGACCCTTCGTTTTTGTTTCAAAGTCAAGCGTG